GCTGCTGAATTTAATTCTGGCAAAGTTTGACCTTTGCTCTCCTTAAAAAACGGTGTGTCTTTGACACTGCTATTCTTTTATAATCTTTACCTTCACTCCTTCAGCAATGTTTAGAATTTTAATGAAACCTAAACATATGAAAATAAGTTTATACATTTTCTTTATTCTTGTAAATTTACATCGGAACTTTTAAACACTATTTATATATTAGTGTGTTTATTTACAAGAATAATTTTATATTATAAAATTATGTGAAGCACTAACACGATACAATGTTTGGTATTTACCAATTTATAAGGTAATATATATGAAAACAATTTTTTCATTCATAAATTTGTAAAAATTTATGAAATCATAAAAATGTGAACTTGCTATAACAAAACCTTTCTTATTTACCATTTTATAAAGTTCAAATCAACTGGCAATTCACTGATGTTTTGCCAACCATTTTAAAGAATGCAATTTGATTTTTTTTTCATCAGTCAGCACTTGGCTGACAATAAATAATCTATTGGTAGATTTTCTATGCAAAGTTATTTATTTATAAAATAGTAAATAAATATTGCATTGTAGCTGGTTCAAATATTTTGGAAATTTTGTAGATTTTTATAAATTTTTGAATAAAAAGATTTCTTTTCAAATTTGTTTCTTTATAAAATGATAAATATTGCATTGTATTTGGTTCACATATTTTTATAATCTTGTAAATAAACAATACCGAGGGAATTTTGGCTGTATAAAGTAATGGCAGTGTCAATAGGAAAAACATACTTTTGAAATTCTTTTTCTTGCTTTCTTTCTTCTTTAGGTTAAACTTTGCCCTAATTTTTCTTTTCTTCCTTTGTAGTTTGCTCGTCCACATCTGCTGGACACAGAGAGTTATCAGGTGACCTTTGGCCCAAAAGCGCAGCGCAAAAGACCCAACATTAAGGCTGTAGACTTACAGGTAATTAATTTTGCTTTGCTTTTCAGAGATAAATCAAAAATAGTTCTTACCTCCAACTTATAAAACATTTTTATAATTATTAATTATTCATTATAGGTACCTCCACTTGGTCACATAAAAACAGCATAGCATGATTTATAAAAGGCCCCAAACCCAATAAAAACAAAGTTTTGTCATCAAAATGTTTGTTATGATTAAGATGAAAGACCAAAGTGTTTTTTTACTATTTTTTGAAATTTTTTACTCCTTTCTAGCACATTTAAAATTTTGGTTAAAAATCTTGTTTTTTTTCCAAGGAAAAAAAGAAAAAAAGGTTTGATTTTATTTTGAAATTTTTCCAAAAAAATTTGTTTGGATTTTAATGAACTTTTAGGACATATTTTAGGAATTAATAAAAAAAATTTTTTTTTTTTTTTTTTTTTTTAGAAAATCTTGGTAAAAAATTTTTTTTTTTTTTTTTACCAGTTTCATCAAAACCTGCTCTGAATTGTAAAATAAAAAATGCAATAAAACTATGACATTTAATTAGAAAAGCTTTTAATTGCTTTTGTAAATATTAAGGACACTATTGTCTGAAGGAATAAAAAATTTTTGATGAATAATTAATTTTTACAAGATAGATAAAAAGAAAAGATAATATAAAAATTAGCTATCAGATAAAAAATATAAAAGATCATATAAAAATAAAATTAGATAATATATAACTCCAAAAACTTAATAAAATAGACATTTAATAAAAATACAATATTCCCCCCTTTTCAAATTTTGCTTTAAGCTGAAATACATTTTATATTTTTCCCCTCCTTTGCTTCTTCCAGGCATTGTTAAGTCAAGCTGAAGAGCAGGAACGTAAATACAACCCAGAGAATGACACAGATCTTGTTGTTGAAGATGATGGCATGAGGGATGAAGCCATTGAGATGGTTTTCAAAGCGGGTCAGTCCAAACGTATTTGGAATGAACTGTATAAAGTGAGTTCTTGATCCTGATGGATATTTTTATTTTTAAACTTTAGTTAGTCCAGAATGGGACTGTGGATGAAGAGAAGATTGTGTTTTTCCAATTTTACAAACAGGGATGAATGCTGTTGTAGAAAATTCCCATTTCAAAGATTGGCTTTTTCTTGAGCACAGATACTAATGACTGGTGTGAGGGAGAAATGCCCAACTATTTCAGCCACTAATCACATTCACCCAAACTTTATCATATCAGTAATTCTTTTTGATTCTTTAAAATAGTGATTATTTGCATGCAACTCCCAAAGGGACTATGTGAGGGGAGTGCAATAACATTCATGAGCCAGCTGGGACTGGCATTGTTTTTGGACAGAGACCACCAAGCTAGTCACAGATAATAATTTTATGGCTACAAATAGGTCAAAATGAGGGTAAAGAAATGATTCTATATCACTAAAGGAACAAGATTTTCTTAGGCCAGAAAATTTTGTTTGAGTTGGTAGAGGAAGAATTACAAACCAAACATGATAATTAGGAATAAAAAAAAAAGGCAGATAAAAAATTTTACAATGATGTTAAAAGTAACATCTGTTTTGTGCCAAGCATCCATGGTTTGGGTGGGACCTATTACCTGTATGGTAACAGTGTGAGGAGCTGATATGAGAAAGTGGGAGAAAATGAATACGCCCTCTGAAAGGTACTGGTGTGAGGTGTGAGCAACAGAAATGGGGAGAACAAGATGGCGGATCGACATATTGCTACCACCACTCCCACAAGGGGAGCTCCCCATATTTGAACATGCAAATTGCTTCCCAGGACACTGTCAGCAGAGTGATCTGATCAGATATTTTGGAAATCCTGGAACCCCAGATCACATCAAACCCCACACCAATGTTGGGCAAAGGTCCATAAAAGTGTTAGATCAGAGGGAAATTACAGAACAGAGAGAGAGAGAGAGTAGCAGTTGAGGCAGAGGCGCGTTTCCATTACACTAAGAAGAGACAATTGCTTCACTGGTCCTCATGTGATTTGCTGCTACAGAGAACTCCCGACTCATGCCTTGTTCCAGACTATTAAATAAATTGAGCAGAGTGCCATGATGAAATTGCAAAGTGGGAGAATTGAAAGTCTCTGTGTGATGCAAGAGAGAGAGATGAGTGTTTCGTCAGCATTCCATAATTTGCTGTCTGAAGAAGTCTCTTCTTTGGAAACTAAGAACAAAATGTCACAAAATTAGACTACATGCTTGCTTGTAGATTCTTATACGAAAATATGTTCCTGTATAAACTTCAGTTATATAAAACTGATTTACACAACTTCCTTTTTTTGTCTTATAACATCATCCACCTGAACGACATCAATCAAGCAATATCTGGTGATGATTTGATCCTTGCCTGCCTTGTGATCAAAACTAATATGGGACAGGGTGAGGCTTGGATCGAAGTGACCACAGTTAGCTGCAAGATTCAATCATGGACACACCAGTGACTGAGGACAGGACAGTGTTGTCATGTAGTACAGGGACCATGACATTCTGCAGCATTATATAAAAAAATGTGCCTGTTTCAGGTAGCAGAGGAAATTTGTTATGGTGTAGGCCATTTGTAAAAGCAGTGTTGCTAAGTGAACCTTTGAAAAGACTTTCTTCTTTTCTGTTTTTTTGTTTCTTTTTTTTTTCTGTTTATTGTTGTTGTTTTTTGGGGGTTTTTTTACTAAATTTTACCCAATACAAGGCTCGAGGGCCACTCAAAGTAGAGGGTTGCAGTTGTGTGTTATGAATGAAAGTGGCAGGAAGTGAAGATTATATAGATAAGACAAAAAGATAGCAATTGACCCTTGATTTGAGGTGGTCAAGATTGAAGCATTCAGAGAAGTGCCTTTGGTAATTATGTTCCAGAAAATGGAGGAAAAAGCTGTGAGAGAAACTTCCCTCTTACATTAGGAACACAGTGGAAATGAGGGTGATTCAACTCTGTGATAAGTAGCATAACACAGCAGTGAGGGTCTGAACTGGTGAGACTAAAGAATGGAGCCCATCTGAACATCTGCTATGGAAATAGGCTATAGATTTGCGACATGGTGTCTGTAGGAAAGGGGTTGCAGCTCTAACCCAGACAAAGCAACAATGCTCTATTTTTGATTTGATCTGACTCTTGTAAAAATAATGCATAGCGGAAGGAGTCTGGTACTTCCTGTAGCCATAGAACGAATCAACCATTTTTCCAGCTTGTTAGCAATGGTTCTGATATGTTCAGGAAAGGGATATATTTGTTTGAAGTAACAAAGTGGTTTTGAACTACTGTAACTGAGTACGACAATCTAGCAGGTAACCGTAATGGACTGGTCCTCATCGTAGTGGTAGGCAATAGTGTAACGTGTGAAAGCTCAGGATCTGAATGCTGACAATGGAATGATATTAGTTTGGTTTTTGAGTTATTGAAAGCAATGAACCAGTTATTTCTGCCTCCATTGAGCTGTTTGTTTGATTTCTTTTTTAAAGCTTATCAACCTTCTGCATGTTTCTAAATTATAAGAATTTTTTGGAGATAATAATTATTTCCTGATACAAATCCTACTAATTAATCCATATCTGGTGGGAGAAGATGTGATTTCATACCTTTCCCGAGTGAATATAACAAGCTCAGCTGGAATTGGAAATCTGAGAAACGAATTCCAGTTCCAAGCCATTAATAATATCACCTGCACATCTAGGCTTACACCACCTGGTATTCTCAAGCAGTCACCCATCTAGATATTGAACAGGCTCAGCATTGCTTAGCTTTGATGATTGTATGAGGACCAGTGTTTCAACATGATATAAAATAAATAAACTTTTTCCATTTTGTCTCACTACTGTTGTTGATATATAAAAATATATATCATTATCTCATATACTAGCATGAAGTTATCAGTCATTGTGACTTAGAGTTTCAGCATACTGGACTTATTCATCTTCTTTAGCTAAGGTCTGATCAGCATAACTGCAGTATAAACCTCAGGTTGGCTCTATGGGTATTGAAGAAACCCATATGAACCTGAGCGGGCATCTACAACTGGGATTAGCTAACTACCCTAACAGACAGGTGTATTTGGAAAACCAGCAACCAGCTATTTATATATCTATATCTATAATTCTCAAAGTGTGTGTGTGTGTGATCAAATGTTGGTTATTTATTTCCACAGTTTTCCTTCAATTTCAATGCAATTTTTTTTGTTTGATATATAATTCTTCAGTGCCAGTTTCGAGTTCAAATTGGCTAGAAAAAAATTATAACCTTGAAGGTAAAAAATTGAAAAAACTGATATATTTTTTTACACTTTGTGCAAAAATCAAAGGTTAAATTTAATGTCTGTAAAAAAACAGCATTCAATCAATTTAGAGGGTTGAAATCTAACACAAAAGATTATTAAAATTATAAAAAAAATTATATTATAAATAAAAATTATTGTATATTATTATTATGACATTCCATGGAAGAGGTTTCTTCCTTGCAAGATTGAAAATGCAAAAATGGCCCTTTTCAGGGCCACCCCTCATTCAAAATACAAAAATTTGGAGATGTGCCTCAGTTGCACCCAATTGTTGTTACTAATATTGATTTTTTTTTTGGGCTGACTTTAAACTTAAACTGCCCCAATTGAACGGCAAAAATTTCCAACAATAAAAGAGCTGGTCAAAGCTTGTCTTATATATTTGTGTTAATTAAATATATACTCAAAATATAGTACTTGTGTATGTCAATGTGTGTGTGTGTGTGTGTGTGATAGAGAAAGAGAGTAAAGTTGAGGGAATGGCAGCCACCCTCTTGACCCAACATAGCACTACCTTCTTAAGGCAGTTGATATAGGCCTCAGTGGTGAGTCTGAGGCCCTGTAGGAAGATGAATGGAGGCATGACATTGACATCACTAGTGATCACTCCAAACACCTTCATAATCACCATTAGAGGGAATGGTAAAAATATAAAACAGCTTGTAATGAATCCCCATTGTCAGAAAAAGAATTTTATTTTACAAGAATAAAATTGTCCTTTAGAAATAAAATTCTGTTTTTGAAAACGACAGTTTCTCAATGAAATATATCAAAGCATAAATTTTGCAAATTGTCCTTTTATATATATATTTATATATATATATATATATAAAATATTATTACTTCAGACATTGTCAGATTAAAAATAAATCCATTAATTCTTTAGAAATATATATAATGAGTGATATCAATACAATAGACAAGTGGATTTATTGCTGTTCAGACCATATATATATATGCCAACTTGCAACAGCTGTATAGCATGTACATCCCTACCCACACACATTCATTATTTGACATAATGTGAAAGGGTCCGGTGACCAAGTGCAGAGTAAATGTATGTATTAGATGCAGGTAATACTGAGGGGGGGGGGAGACAAAAAAACAAACACACACACACAAAAAAAAAAAAATTGTCGTCTGAATTACCAAAAATGGAAACACTGACATCTCATTTTAACAGATATATTTGCCAAAATTACATAAAAATATCTTGCAGTACTAAAGAGTAAATTTATTCAATAAAATCTCCATTGGCTTCAACCATGGCCTTCAGACAACTTCAGAATCTCCTGCAACTCTTCTGGACAGTCTTCTTGTTTGAGTTAGTAAATGCTGCCATAATCCTTGCCTTCAGTTCATCTTTGGTGTTAAAGGAGTTTTGTTGGCCTCTCGCTCAACTGTGCCCCACACATGATAATCAAGAGGATTGCAGTCTGAGGAGTTAGGTAGCCAGATGTAAGGTGTGATATGGTTGCAGAAATTGTCTGACAGCCATCACTGCCTTCTCCCGCTTGTGTGGCATGGTGCAGAGTCCGGTTGCTAGACATATGGTCTTCCATTAGTCACTCTCTTGACCCTGGGCAGCACTACCTCTTCAAGGCACTTGATGTAGGCCTCAGTGTCGAGAAGTATGAAATCAGCACACTTTCAGTGCATTTTGTTCTTTGTGAATCCCTTTCTCTTTGGATTGGACTGGCGTTTCTTGTCTTTCAAACTGACATGAAGATGACTACCTGTCTCATTATCTCTACTTTTGTTCAGATATTATTCTACACCCTACTAAAATGCTTATTTATATATATATATATATATATATATATATATATATATATATATATATATATATATATATATAGACTTGTCTATTATCTGACTTTTGAAGACCTAATTTTGAAGCTAAATTTGATTACAGTAAATGGATATATAGTTTGGTCAACAACATAGCCAGGGCCAGCAGTAGATACACTAATTTTATATCTTGTGTATGATACAACTCCCTTAAAACTAACTTCAAAAGTTGCATGATATGTAGGTATATACAGTCTCTGTGTGTGTATATATATATATATATATATATATATATATATATAAATAATAAGAAAGAATAGTAAGATTTATAATCCGGTATTTTTAGCAATTATTTTATTTAAAAAAAAAAAAAAAAAACAGTGCTCGATACAAACTGTAGAGCAAAATATTATAATTATTTTCTTTTTAAAAATATGATTCCATATTTTTAAAAAGAAAATAATATAAAAAAACGATATATATTACCCAACTGGGTAGTATATACATGAGCCTGACTGGAATTTGAACTTGGATCAGCAGGACATTAACATTATAGAAAGAATGATAAGATTAAAGTTAATCAGGAAAAAATGAAATGAAAGCTAAATATTCATTTGTTTGCCTTTGAAAGTATCTTATTTCCAAACAAATTTTTAGATGTTAAGGGAATTGCAAATTGGAACTTAATCGACTTGTGATTTTTTTTTTTTATTGATTCTTTCTTGATTTTTAATTGATTTCATTTTAGGTTATTGATTCTTCAGATGTTGTTGTGCAAGTTTTGGATGCCAGAGATCCGCTGGGAACAAGATGTTACCAAATTGAAAAATACCTGAAAGCAGAGAAAGGACATAAGCAGTTGATTTTTGTTCTTAACAAAGTTGATTTGGTTCCTGTCTGGGTCACAGTAAGTCTCATAAACTATGTCAGCTGACTTCTTTTGTTAATTCAGCTTTCCCCAGTATTCAGGAGTAATAATAAAATAATAATGGTTGTAGCAAGAGTAATAATAAAATAATAATGGTTGTAGCAAGAGTAATAATAAAATAATAATGGTTGTAGCAAGAGTAATAATAAAATAATAATAATGCTAGAAACACTAGTAATAATAAATTATTAATAATAAAATAATAATGATGGTTGTAGTAGCAGTAGTAATAAAATGATGACGTTGTAGTAGCAGTAGTAATAATAATAATAATAATGACGGCTGTAGCAGCAGTAGTAATAACGGTTGTAGCAGTAGTAATAAAACATTAGTAGAAAATGTTTATCAATAAAACATTTCACTTTTAAAGCTTCATCAGAGAATGATATAGACAAAAAGTAGCAAGCAATTCTGGTATTTTTATTTTGTTTTTTTTTTTATTTTCATTGGTTAATCAGGTTTTACATGCACATGACTTGTTAAACACATGTTAGTATAATTTGTGGCATATGTTTATCTAAAACAAACAGTATGTACAGGGTGTGATGGATAAATTGGCATCTAAATTACCCAAGAATGAAAATAACACTGACATCTCATTTTAACAGATGTATTTGCCAAGATTGCACAAAAATATCTTGAAATACTAAAAAGTAAATTGATTCAATAAAATCTCAATTGACTTCAACCACAGCTGCCAAACGACTTTCGAATCTCCTGCAACTCTTCTGGGCGGTCTCCTAATTTAAATTGGTGAATGCTGCCATAATCCTTGCCTTCAGTTCATCTTTGGTGTTAGAAGGAGTTTTGTTTGTCTCTCGCTCAACTGCACACCACACATAATAATCAAGGGGGTTGCAGTCTAGGGAGTTAGGTGGCCAGATGTAAGGGGTGATGCGGTCGCAGTAATTGTCTAACAGCCATGACTGGGTTCCCATGCCTGTGTGGCATGGTGCAGAGTCCTGTTGCCAGACATATTGTCTTCCAGCAGCCACCCTCTTGACCCAACATAGCACTACCTTCTTAAGGCAGTTGATATAGGCCTCAGTGGTGAGTCTGAGGCCCTGTAGGAAGATGAATGGAGGCATGACATTGACATCACTAGTGATCACTCCAAACACCTTCATAATCACCATTAGACTCATGCAACTCTTTCTGAATCCCCTGCAATGACACCCAAACACACTGAAATGTTTCTTTGGAACTTCCAGTGTGAGTGCCAAGGAGTACTGCATGCTGTTTCCAAATTTCTGGCAGAGTAAATTGCATCATGGTGCTCTTTTTCTCGCAGACAATGCCCAACTGACCCTACTATACTGTGCCATCAACAAAATCAAAAACAAACGTGCATAGACTAAATTAAAAATATAAAAATCAGGTAAGCTATGGAGGACAGGAAGTGACACAATTCAGCGTCTAATAAGAGAAAGTAAGTTTTGATCTTGAATTATTCTTTTTTTAGTGCAAATTAGTAAGCTTCTAGAGTTGTTAGAGGTGTTATCTACTAATATTTGTCTTATGCTGATAGTTGTACTTTAGTTGTTCATGATACCCTCTCCTGAGGTGAATGATACTTTTTTTAATATGGGCCATTTATTTTTTTTTATAATAATAGCTTCTAGAGAAGTTATCTCATAATTAATGTGTGCACATATTTTATCATGAATATACAAAAATATTAAATAAAATAAAAATTAAAATTAAACTAATAAATAAAAAATCGCAATCATTTTATTCAGCCTTATTCTCAATAGCTATTACACATTCCGTCACATGTTGCCATTTCAAACATCCAGCTTCCCAAAGAATACCAGGATGCAGACAAAGGAATTCTAACTGCTACACAGGCACCACATTGGTTCTTGAGAATGACTGAAAGTCAATAGTACTTGAACGAAAATAAAAAATATGAACTTCAGAAAGTTTATCCACAATTTTGAACATGATACTCAACACCTTATCTGAAAATTGGAAAAATACAATTAAAAAATTTAAACATATCTTGTCGGTTCTTTTTAATCAAACTTGTTTGGGTGAAAAATATAACCTGTTCATATGCACACATACACAATGTATCTTTGTGCGTTGAGCACTTTAGAAGAAAGAAAATTTGACAGCTGCTGCTGCTATAATGCTAAGCTCTTTGTAATTGAATAGAGCACTCTGGTAGCTGATAATGCTTATATTACATATATAATGCATTAAAAATTCCCTTTCTCCATAGCGTGCCATCAACAAATAAGTGGAATAAGTGTCTCTGAGTGATGTCAAACTGGTCGAGTTTCGATCCCGACTTGAAGCAATCTCATGTCTAGCCACTTTGATGAACTGTGATACAGCAAAACAGTCTGTTTGTGGATGATGTAAACATATGGTTCTGTTGTTAATATTTCATTGTCTCATGTGGTACAACGTTATAGGACTGCATCACAAATTTACGATCTACATCTGCTATCCACAACCATTATTGTTGCATAGCAACTTCTATGTAAACATAACAGGGCATCATCTTTGATGCTATATATCTTTGTTGAAATGTCCATATAACCACTCTGATGATGGCTCCTGTGAGCCGAAAGCTTAGATCGAGGAACAGCATAATAAAAAAATATCCAAATGTTGGACAGTTTTGTCTTTATTTTCTGCTGAAATTAAAGCCACTATACGAATCTTAGAACGGCTCATGATCAAACATAATAGACTGTTGAGATGTTGAGTGTTTCCCCGTGCGTGTATTGAAATAAGGACAAACACATATGTAGGGAAAAATACTGGTATATCTGAAGAGGTATTTACAACAGAGAGATTAGTAGTCAAACGAACGCAGGTTAGTCAGTAACAATCAGAAAGAGTATAAAGTCCAACTGTACCTTCCGGTAGAGAGACGAAGTGTGATGGTCACCTGATCTCCCAGAACTCTATAGAACTGTCCTATTAGTAGTAGAGAGATCAGTCCATTCTGATGAGAAGGTAGGTGCGCCCCAACATAGACATTCATTGTCTGTTATATTTATATGTTTGAATAAAAAATATTTATAATTTAAGCTCTACTTCTGTATGGAGCACATTTTTTTTTTTTTTTTTTTTTTTAAATAAAAACAAAAATACTAAAGAACTCTGGATTATTTACCTAACATGTTCTTTCCTATCTTTCTATATATTTTCACATATATACCCATGTGAGTATTAGCAGGGGTGGAGGGCTGCAAAATGAGTAATAATACATGGTTAGAAGATAGCTTAAGGCATGAAACTGACACTTACTTGCCCTCTTTCCTCATTATGTGCCCTAGAAATTTCAACTCTCTTCTTCATGTTAAGTCTAAGTGTCCTTTTTGTTTCCATTTTCTCTAAAACTTTGTTGTTGCTCACATGTTCAGTCCATGGTATTCTCAGCATCCTTCTGTAGAACCACATTTCTGTTGCTTCAAGTATCTTCCTTATTTGTGAGGAGATTGTTCAGCATTCATTACACTATAGGAGGATGGACGTGATTTTAATGTGTAATAATAATAATAATAATAAAAGTAGGATACTTGGAACATCTAATATGTATTATTTTCTCATATATTAGGTAATATAAGTGTAAAGGTGACTACAGGGGTGTTATTTTATGTCTAGAGAGCTCCTATAATGTCAAAAACCATATTTTGAATGTTGTAAACAGGTTTTCTATGCTCTAACTACAAAAATATTCGATTTATAAATAAAGAATCCTATTTCGCAGAAATTCACTTATCGTAGTAGGGTCTGGAACTGATTAACTGTGATAAATGAGGAACGACTGGACTAAATTTACAATAATGTCAAAGTAATCTAAGCTCGTATTTAAAGGAATAATTTGGTGACTTTCTCAGCTCAGAGAAACTTTTCTTATTTTTGATATCTTTTTAGCATAACATTCATTTCTTTTCTTTTATTTATTCCAGCAAAAATGGGTGACTATTTTATCTGCTGAATACCCAACAATGGCCTTCCATGCAAGTTTAACAAATGCATTTGGAAAAGGAGCACTGATTAATTTGTTGCGTCAATTTGCAAAGGTAATTACTGCTATTTTACTTTCTTTTCTTTTTTTTTTTTTTATTTGGTGGATCATACAGCAGGCACTGAAACTAAGTATAATCATTTCATTTTTTTTTTTTTTTTTTTTTAATATTTTTTCGTATCATTATTGATAAGGCTCTCCGAATCATGATTATCAAATTTAAAAAAAAAACAAAAAAACAAATAATTTTTTTTTAAATATTTTTTGGTATCATTATTGATAAGGCAATCCAGCTCATGAATATTAAATTAAAAATAGAATTCTTTTTAACTAAACTTTATAAAAGTTATTGCAAATTGTCCGAAGCCACCCCCCCAACCATTATGGAAGCCAAAACAATATGCTCATATGATATGATTTCTTAAAATGTAAAAAATATAATTCAAAGAAAGAAAAAACTTTTTAATTAAATTTTATAAAAGTTAATAGGGGTCCTGTTTGCTATGTAAATTCATTGCCAATTGACTCCCCCCCCACACACACACAAGCAAAAATGGTATGCTCTACTAAAATTTGAAAATTGAGACTGACGTGTATCTGAACTCTTTCCAAACATACTTTATTTCTAAATTCTACCAGTTTTACATAAAGTCAAAATTTGTGGGCTTTTTACACAATTAACTCATCTATACCATATATGTGCTCGTTGGATACTGCTCAGGCCAAATGGTAGACGCATTTTTACTTATGAATATCTAGTTTTGGTTGTTTCCATTGAAACCAAATGCAAAATGTCTTGTAAATATAACATTAAGATCTGATCAGAACTTTGATAAATACTTCATCAATTAATCCTTTTCAGGCTGAATTTATTTCTAAATTTAAATTCAATTTTGCTAGGATTCTCATTTGGCCAAATGGTAACTATTTTTCCTCAGGAATATCTAGTTTTTGTTATTCTCATGAGAACCAAATGCAGTAAACTTACTCCAAAATGAAAACCATATTATAATTATAAACACTTGGTCTATCATCTATTTTCTGTAGCTTCAAACTCCTCTGAGGAGTCAAGAATGACATGTAAAGTCTTCTAGGCTTTCAGAATTATATTCTTTATTGTGATGCCACCAAAATTTGATGATTGTGATTATTAGATTCTGTTGTAAGCAAAGTCTTATAATTTGCTCATTCATCTGGAAAGGGTTAAACAAATTTTAATTTTTAATCCCTGTAGAAATAAACTCTTCCATTAGTGACTGGGAAGTTTTTTGCATTTTTTTTATTCTAATAAAATCTTTAATTTCTAACTCTGTTATTCCATTATCAAAATTTTCCTCTTAGTCTGGGGAATTATTATGTTCAGGCAAAAGTTTAAAGCATTTTTAACACAACACTTTTTTCATATAAATATCATTGATATCATGGACATATTCTACAATATCATTGTCTATATCATGGACATTTATATCATTGTCTATATCATTGTTAAATCACATTATATCATTGTCTATATCATGGACATACCTACATTATATCATTGTCTATATCACATACCTACATTATATCATTGTCTATATTAAATTCATAAATTATATTTGTCTATATATACATCCTATTATATCATTGTCTATATCATGGACATACCTACATTATATCATTGTCTATATCATACATATCATGGACATACCTACATTATATCATTGTCTATATCATGGACATACCTACATTATATCATTGTCTATATCATGGACATACCTATTATATCATTGTCTATATCATGACATACCTACATTATATCATTGTCTATATCATGGACATACCTTACTATTATATCATTGTCTATATCATTGACATACCTACATTATATCATGGACATACATACCTACATTATATCATTGTCTATATCATGGACATACCTACATTATATCATTGTCTATATCATGGACATACCTACATTACATACATTGTCTATATCATGGACATACCTACATTATATCATTGTCTATATCATGGACATACCTATTATATCATTATATCATGGACATATCATTGTATCATACATCATGGACCTACATTATATCATTGTCTATATCATGGACATACCTACATTATATCATTGTCTATATCATGGACATACCTACATTATATCATTGTCTATATCATGGACATACCTATATATCATTGTCTATATCATGGACATACTACATTATATCATTGTCTATATTATATCATTGTCTATATCATGGACATGGACATACCTACATTATATCATTGTCTATATCATGGACATACCTACATTATATCATTGTCTATATCATGGACATACCTACATTATATCATTGTCTATATCATGGACATACCTATTATTATATCATTGTCATTGTCTATCATGGACATACCTACATTATATTGTCTATATCATGGACATACTTATATCATTATTATATTGTATCATATCATGGACATACCTACATCATTGTCTATATTATATCATTGTCTATATCATGGACATACCTACATTATATCATTGTACCTATTATATCATTGTCTATATCATGGACATACCATTATATCATTGTCTATACATCATTGTCATATATTATATCATGGATATCATACATACCTACATTATATCATTGTCTATATCACATGGTCTACATACCTACATTATATCATTGTCTATATCATGGACATACCTACATTATATCATTGTCTATATCATGGACATACCTACATTATATCATTGTCTATATCATATCATGGACATACCTTACATTATATCATTGTCTATATCATTATTATATCATTGTCTATATCATGGACACATTATATCATTGTCTATATCATATATCCGGGACATTATATCATTGTCATTATATCATTGTCTATATCATGGACATATCATTGTCCATACCTACATTATATCATTGTCTATATCATGGACATACCTACATTATATCATTGTCTATATCACGGATACCTACATTATATCATTGTCTATATCATTGTACATTATATCATTGTCTATATCATGGACATACCTACATTATATCATTGTCTATATCATTGTCTTATATCATTGTCTATATCACGGACATACCTACATTATATCATTGTCTATATCATGGACATACCTACATTATATCATTGTCTATATCATGGACATACCTATCATTATATCATTATATCATACCTACATTATATCATTGTCTATATCATTGTCTATATCACGGACATACCTACATTATATCATTGTCTATATCATGGACATACCTACATTATATCATTGTCTATATCATGGACATACCTACATTATATCATTGTCTATATCATGGACATACCATACTTACATTATATCATTGTATCATATATCATGGACATACCTACATTATATCATTGTATATCATTGTCTATATCAATGGATACCTACATTATATCATTGTCTATATCACGGACATACCTACATTATATCATTGTCTATATCACGGACATACCTACATTATCTATACACGGACATACCTACATTATATCATTGTCTATATCACGGACATACCTACATTATATCATTGTCATATCTATACCATTATATCATTGTCTATATCATGGACATACCTACATTATATCATTGTCTATATCATTATACATTATATCATTGTCTATATCATGGACATATATCCTACATTATATCATTGTCTATATCATGGACATACCTACATTATATCATTGTCTATATCATTGTCTATATCATGGACATACCTACATTATATCATTGTCTATATCATGGACATACCTATATCATTGTCTATATATATTATATCATTGTCATACCTACATTATATCATCATACCTACATTATATCATTGTCTATATCACGGACATACCTACATTATATCATTGTTATCACGGACATCATTGTCTATATCATGGACATACCTATATCATTGTCTATATCATCATTATATCATTGTCTATATCACGGACATACCTACATTATATATCATTGTCTATATCACGGACATACCTACATTATATCATTGTCTATATCACGGACATATCATTATATCATTGTCTATATCATGGACATACCTACATTATATCATTGTCTATATCATGGACATACCTACATTATATCATTGTCTATATCATGGACATACCTACATTATATCATTGTCTATATCATGGACATACCTACATTATATATCATTGTCATATATCATGGACATACCTACATTATATCATTGTCTATATCAATGGATATCATATCATTGGACATACCTACATGGACATACCATACCTACATTATATCATTGTCTATATCATGGACATACCTACATTATATCATTGTCTATATCTATTATATCATTGTCTATATCATGGACATACCTACATTATATTATGTATTTGTCATTGTCATATATCATGGACATACCTACATTATATCATTGTCTATATCATTATATATCATTGTCTATATCATGGACATACCTACATTATATCATTGTCTATATCATTATTATCATTGTCTATATCATGGACATACCTACATTATATCATTGTCTATATCACATGGACATATATCATTATATCACGGACATACCTACATTATATCATTGTCTATATTATATCATGGACATATCCTACATTTATATCATTGTCTATATCACGGACATACCTACATTATATCATTGTCATATCACGGACATACCTACATTATATCATTGTCTATATCATGGACATACCTACATTATATCATTGTCTATATCCACGGACATACCTATTATATCATTGGACATACCTATATATCATTGTCTATATCCGGACATACCTACATTATATCATTGTCTATATCATTGTACCTACATTATATCATTGTCTATATCATGGACATACCTACATTATATCATTGTCTATATCATTACCTACATTATATTGTCATTGTCTACATATATCATTGTCTATATCACGGACATACCTACATTATATCATTGTCTATATCTTCATTTTATCATTGTCTATATCACTGAAGTATTAAAATATGTTCTCTAAGCATGGAAAACAGAAAGAGAATGTGCATTCTTATATCATTGTCTTGGACATTGTTATACTGGCATGTTTATCTGGTTCAATCCTGGGGTATGTTTACCTACATTATATCATTGTCTATGCAGAAAATATCAGTCACATATCCTGGTTCAGTGGAAGAAACAGACAAGCAACACAAATGTGATTCAGACTGGTAACTATTTGCAAAATATCCTCTAAACATGTAAAGTGAAATGAGACTAACATGTTCATCTTGTTTGTTATACTGGCAGTTGTAAGTTCAATCCCTGCGTATGGTTGTACTGAAAAGTCACATACTTTGGTCCAATGGAAGAAACAGACATACAGCACAAAGGTGAATAAGTCTTGTGACTATTAACTGATAGGAAATGTGAATGTAAAGCAAAATTGAAAACAATTTATTAAAATGGATTCAATAAAAATGTTTGTATCAAAATTCTAAGTAGTTTAGCATGTCATCAAGGACACATGGTGCAGTGGATAAAGTCGTTAGTTAGATCCAGTGACAGGACCCAAAGAGTGTAAGTTCAATACCTGGTTAAGGCTATGGAGAACTTGGAGAGGGGAATTAACAGGAGATAACTGATAACTGACATCCATTAGACATGGCACGTGGAACTAGAACAGTCTACTCCAGCAAGTGAAATAAAGGGTTCAGTTTGACATTCCAATCACCTGAAGAAGGCTGGAGCATACAATGGCTGAAATGTTGTGATAAATATGGCAACAAAGATGAGGCTGATAGTCTGAACAATGTAGATAGTGTTCACAAAAGGTTGTTAGAGCTCGATCAAATGAGAGATCGGCTGCCAACCTCTAGTCATCTTGATTCTCAATTCATCCATATTATCAGTCCTGACCTAAAATGACTTCTTCCCATTTATCTAATTTCGTTATATTCATTTAATTTGGTTAGATTCAGTGACAGGACCCAAAGAGTGTGAGTTCAATACCCGGTTAAGGCAGTGGAGAACTTGGAGAGGGGATTTAACAGGAGATAACTGATAACTGACATCCATTAAACATTGCACATAGAACTAGAACAGGCTACCCCAGTGAGCAAAATAAAGGGTTCAGTTCGATATTCCAACCACCTGAAGAAGGCCAGAGCATACAAGGGCCGAAACGTTGTAATAAATATGGCAACAAAGATAAACACAATAGTCCGAATAATGTAAATAGTGTACATAATACCTCATCTCAGAAATATAGACAGATACTGAAAGGCTGAAGCGTTGTTATAAATATAGTGACAAAGCTAAGGACAATAGCTCGAATAATGTAAATAGTGTACATATCTCATCTCAGAAATATACACAGATACTGAAAGGCCTAAATGTTGTGATAAATATGGCAACAAAGATGAAGAGAATAGTCCAAATAATGTAAATAGTGTACATAATACCTCATCTCAGAAATATAGATATGTAGACAGATGCCTGAAGAAGATTAAAGGATACAAATAGCCGGAATGCTGAGAGTATGACATCGAAAGTGAATATGTTGTTTTGAATAATAAGACATATAAAGAGTAAACATGTTCAGACAGTCAAGATTTTCTTCCTTAGTATTGTGCAAAAGAAACGACTTGGAAGTTTTGTATCTTGCCAAATATTTCGGGTTGAATTATTTGTTGTCAAAATCTCTTGTTGATGCAACGGGAAGAGGAAATAAATTGTCTAAAATTGTAAAAGGACAACTCTAAATTTATTATACTATCTCTCCCAAAAAATTATAGCAAGTCACAGATAATTAAAAGCAAAAGAAAAAAAAAGATGTATGTGTAGAGCCATAATCATCTACACACAGAATTGACATTCTAAAAAAAAAAATGAAACTGATGAAAATAAAACAATAAGTTCACCATTTATGTTTCTTCTTTTCTTTATAGTTACACTCTGATAAGAAACAAATCAGTGTTGGCTTCATAGGTTATCCTAATGTTGGTAAAAGTTCCATCATCAACACTCTTCGTAAGAAGAAAGTCTGTAAAGTGGCTCCAATTGCAGGTGAAACTAAGGTAAGTGATTTCATTTAATGTTTTTTTGTTTTTGTTTTTTGAAAAAGACTGATGAGTTATCTCCCTTACTTCTGAATTGAATCGTTGGAGGGGGGACATTAGAAAGTAATGAATTTTTTTTTTTTTTTTTAACCAATCAAATTTGTGCTTACAAACAAACTATGTGCAGGAAACTAATTCAAATTATATAAAAATCAAAGATTCCCTGATATTTCCATCACACCCTTGTGAGGAGCTGACCGGGATTGACCTACTTGGTCAAATCTAAATCACAGTAATCAAGTGACCATATACAGTTAAAATATCCCATCATCTTCTATTGTCTGTTGTTATCATTGTGCCAGAAGCTTAATGCTTATACCATTTGGCTGGTTGAGAGAAAAAAATTCCCTGCATCTGTTTTCATCCTTATCCATATTGTTGATCCTCTGTCCATGCAGGAAATGATTCATGACTTGTAAAAGGTGGTAATCTGATGGTGCAAGGTCTGGATTGTAGGTAGGTTGAGGTAGTACTTTCAGCCTCTCAAGTTCCTTAAGTTTGCACTTAGTCACATTGGCACTGTGTGCTGGGGAATTGTCAGGCTGTAGGAGTGTGCATCTTTAGTTGATCAGTGCTAAATAGTAGGCTTTCAAATCATCATCATCATCATCATACTTTCCACAGTGGTTGAGCATAAAGGCTAGCATTCACTGCATGACTATCTCAAAGTGAAACACCTCAAAATTCCACCAGACACACATGATCATGTGTTCAAACTGCTTTTGTTTGACAGCAGGTTCATCTGGGAAAATCCTGTTTTTTTGGGGGGGGGGAGTTTTTGTTGTTTTCACCATGAGGTCTACATAACCCATGAAAAAAAAAAAAAAAAAATTACCAAAATGTTCTTTTCACCTCCAGGTTTCATTTCTGATGAAGCTTAAATAAAAGTGAAACATTAAATTTATAAATGTTTCCTATTTGTTCCTTGTCCTATTCTATCCTATCCTCTGTATGTATGTATAATATTTTTCTTCCAATATATGGCCCAAGTGCCACTCAAGATAGAGGGTTACTAAGTGGAGTTGTTTTATGGATATAAGAACTGTAGATTATGGTTTGGTTTATTTTGTTTTATGTCATATCAATCGCAATGGGTCATTTAATCTAACAAGATTTTTAGGATATGTTTGTATGAATAGAATATGTATTCTTTGTATGAAATCAGTTTGTCGATCAGGTTTCATTGTTGTATTTTTGTAAAGGTTTTTGCCGAGAGTCCAGTGCATTGCTGGTAATTTTTTTTTTTTTTTTTTTTTTAAATGTATCAAAGATATTTTTTTTTTTTTTTTAAATGTATCAAAGATAATTTTTTTTTTTTTTTTTTTTAAATGTATTGCAAGTATTTTTACTATAAAACCTATTTTTACACTTTCATAGTATTTTGACCCCAGTTTTGAGGTTAACTATTTGCCCAGAGCTGGGACCCTAACAGGTGCTGCCACATCAGTTCAGAGTGGACCTGGGAACAATAGCAATTAAGAGATGGTTCCATTCTCCTCAAAAACCTCCTGATTAAGGTCTTGTTGCCGGATGTAGTTTATAGTCACACTCTGGATGCCTCATACTGATGTCTCACCCTCTGAAGAGGTGCAGCCAGAGTGTTCTGAAGCCTCGTCCAACAGGGTGGACTATAGATTATGTAACTACATAGGACAGATAACTGTTGATGCTAAACTTGTACAGATTGTTCTGGTCGAGCAAGCAGCACTTAGGAAGAAGCTTTTCAAAATGGAACTTCCTTCTTACCAATTTGTATGTAAAGGGAATGAGGTTAGTTTGCCCCTGTGTACTTGGCATGGCAAGTATTTAAGCATCTGAACTGGTGGAACTAAGGTAAGTTTGAATATTTTCCATGGAAATAGTGATAGGCTTGCAGTGTTGCATTTGTTGGAAAAGGGGTCGTAGGGTGGAAAATAATTCATCACCTACAAGGCCATGTAAATGCTTTTGAACTCTGTTGAGGCAGGAAAGAGAAGATAGAGCAGCTCCATCCCAAATATGGCAACAATAGGCCAGTTTGGGTCTGAACTGTCTCTTGTCAAGATAGAGCCTGGCAGGTGGATTCAGGTGTTTTCTGGAATGGTGTAAGGATCTGAACATTTTTCCAGTATCTTTATAGAAGGATCATATGTAAGAGTTCCACTTGAAGTCTGCAGTGAACTTGAGTCCCAATAAACACTTGAAGCAAGGAGCCTCTTTGAGAGTGTAACCATTCATTATGACTGGTGAGAATTCAGAGCCAGCTCAGTAATAATAAAAAAATCACTAGCTTGGTTTTTGATATATTGAAAGTTATAAGCCAGTTTCTCTCCCATTTGGGCTGTTTGGGCTAGATCAAGAGAGGGATCAGCTGCCATGCTCTGATTATCTTGAGGTCTGTGGTGAATTTGACTCCCAAACAAGAAACCTCTAAGAGTGTAACCATTCACCATGACTGGTAAGAATTTAGGGTTAACTCAATAATAATGAAAAGTCACTAGTGTGGTTTTTGAGGTATTGCAAGTTACAAGCCAGTTTCTCTTCCATTTCGGTTATGTTATATAAGAATAAAATGTTGCTGCCGACACTTGGGTTTGAACATAGATCGCCAGTGAGCAAACACAGGCGATCCCATTATCAAATTAAGTAGACCATATGACCATAGTGGAAATGTATATATGTAGGAAGTAGTTGACGACTAATGATCACTATTTTTCTTCTATCCTCTATTACCATATGATTCGTTATTCTCTATACTATTCCTCTATACAGTATAGTATCACTATACAGATTACTATTCAAGTGAATATTATCGAGCAAGTACTATTACTGTGAGTGCTATTTGAAGGCATCTGACACCAGTATTGTTTAATGGCGTACTATAGTTGTATCTGCAATTACAAAGTCTCTACTACAACGAGCATTACGAAAGTGACAATGAGTATTCGTTGGCATCACAGAAGTGGCAACAAGTTTGTTTGAGTCACAAAAGGTTTCTGTCCTCAAGGACACATGGCACGGTGGATAAAGGTGTTAGTTAGATCCAGTGGCAGGACCCAAAGAGTGTGAGTTCAATACCTGGTTAAGGCTATGGAGAACTTGGAGAGGGGAATTAACAGGAGATAACTGATAACTGACATCCATTAGACATGGCACGTGGAACTAGAACAGTCTACTCCAGCAAGTGAAATAAAGTGTTCAGTTTGACATTCCTGAAGAAGGCTGGAGCATACAACGGCCAAAATGTTGTGATAAATATAGCAACAAAGATGAGGCTGATAGTCTGAACAATGTAAATTGTGTTCACAAAAGGTTGTTAGAGCTCGATCAAATGAGAGATCGGCTGCCAACCTCTAGTCATCTTGATTCTCAATATATCCATGTTATCAGTCCTGACCTAAAATGACTTCTTCCCATTCATCTAATTTCCACCAAAACTTTTGATTTTATTTATTTTATTTTTTCTTTCTGTTCCTAGGTCTGGCAGTATGTAACACTTATGAGGAGAATATATTTGGTTGACTGCCCTGGTGTTGTCTATCCTTCAGGATCTACCCCTGAAGAAATTGTCTTGAAAGGCGTGGTAAGTATAAGTTGCCACCTATAAAGATTGGTTGGTACTTATCATGTTTTATTTAAAATAATTATAATTAATGTTTTATTATTTAAAACATATCTGAACTCATCTGTCTATTTAACACTAACATTTTCATTTAAGAAAGAAATTATTTTTCTTTCACTGTTTTGCATTATATTCTCTTGATGTCAATTTAAACTGATACCTTTTTCTTTTTTTCTCCATATTTTATAACCATTTTGCCTAAAGTTCATATTTTCTTGATCTCAGATGAAAACTTGGAAATTTTCCAACATATTTCAGTGAAATCTTCATAAAATTATAATGCAGAATTATATTTTGGATAGATAAAAAAAAAGAATTTGTTACGCCAAGAGGATAAAGGTTCAACTTCTTACTTGCCAAGTTTATTAGAATTACAAATTGTATTTTATCACATTATTTTTCTTTTGTATTTACTCTTATAGTCCCTTTTTTAGAAGCTAATGAACCCTTAACTTCTATATTTTTCAGCTTTTATTATACATGGTGATTGTATTTTTTTTTTTTTTTTTTGTTTTTTTCCACAATAAAATTGGTATTAATAATTCAAGGATATTTGCTAACCTCTATCTTTGTCTCCTGATCGAACTTGTCCCCAGAGGCAAGGTGTGGTCTAGCCCAAATTGCTAAATTCAATTGTCCAAAATTTCCATCAGTGGGGAATTCTTATCACGTTCTTGTGGGCCAGTTACATCTGCGATCCATCATCTGTTGTCTTCTCTCACCAGCTCTTTGGTCAAAAGTTACAAAAACAAACAATTCCTTTGTTTTTAATAAATTTTATCATATTTAAGCAGACAAACAAAAAAAAAATACAATTCCATTTCTGTTTCCTGCTGGAAACATGTCAGTCTTAAAATCCAAGTATTTATCAATTGACCGAATTTTGGCTAGAGACTCGTTTTTAGCTGTTGTGGGTAGCCTCCTCATTACCCACTTTGTTTAACCCATTGATGCTCTGTCCTGTTCCCCTTTCAGCACTTGAGGTCATTAAAATATAATCTATTCTTCTGCACAGTGTCAATTGGACACTTAAGAAAATACTATCACTTAAGATTATGTTGACCAAAAAACAGATGGCTTCTATGCTAGCCATCGTTGGCATTACAACCCCGAGGTGGGGAGAGAAAAGAAAACAAATATCCTTTTCTTTCATTTTCCTTGTCTTTTTATCAGTATACTTTCAGTCTATCAAAAAACATTGTTTTTCTTTTTGTTTTCTAGTTTATTTTGAAAGCTTTTTTCCCAATTTACCAGTGCCTTCTCAATAGTGTCAAATATCACAGAAATGCATTTTTAACACAGCAGTAGCTGTTTATTTAAGCTTTTGACATGTTTGACAGCTTGATGTTTATTTAATGTTGTTCTGTGGAGGCTTTAGCCATAAAAAATAATTGAATACAATGTGAGTGCCTTTTATATATAATTTTTAAGTACTCAGTAATCTTAAAAATTTAACAAAATATTCTCCATAATCTATAAAATTTTTGATACTTTCTAGCTTTAAATTTACTACAGTTACCGCTCTTATTTTGATAATGTCATAATAATGTTGTATATGGGTCCCCATATCTACAGAAATTGGTATGTTTATACACATACAAAAAAATTGAAAATTCATTTAAAAATATTGGTGTTTGATGATTTGTACTAAGCTTTTCCATTTATGATTAGTAAATATAGTTTTACTTAATAATATCATCTAAATAATTTTTAAGAGAATTAATAGCTTTTCTAATTAAATAATGTCATAGTTTTGTTGTATTTTTTTATTTTACAATTCAGAGCAGATTTTCTGTAAATGGTGTTTCTACTTGACAAAAACAAATTGGTGATTTAAATTCTCCAATGATTCTTGCTTTTAACTAATATAAATATGAAGAGGGTGGAATTTTAATTTCTCAAAATTTTATATAATTAAGTGGAGATAACAGATGTAAACAAAAAAAAAATATTTTTACCGAGATTTTCTTAAAATAAAAAATGATTTCCAAAATAATTTCATTCATTTATGAAAAAGTCCTGAAAATCTAATTAAAATCCGGCAATTATTTGATTTTTACAAGAATTTTCGCAACAGTGTCTTTTTTTACTACAAAAAAGATGCTAAATTTCCCATTATATTCTTTAGCCCACTGCTGACACAAGAAAAACAAGATTTTTAACCAAAATTTCAAACATGCTAGAAAGGATTAAAAAATTTAATAAAAAAATACTTTGGTCTTATACTTAATAATAAACATTTTAACAATGAAACTTTGTTTTTATCAAGTTTGTGGTGTTTTTCATCATGGTAATGCTCTTTTTTAACAAATTTTTGAAGGTACCTTACACACACACACACACACAAACACACATAAGGTACCTTCAAAAATTTGCTTAAAAAGAGTATTACCATGATATATATATTTGTATTTACTTTTTATTGGTTATCTTTTCTTATTTTGTAGGTTCGAGTAGAACATTTAAAAACCCCTGAAGACTATATTGCCCCAATCCTGGAACGTGTACGACTGGAGTACATTCAGCGCACTTACAAAATTGACCAGTGGAAAAGCACAGAAGACTTTCTGGAGCAACTGGCAAAAAGATGTGGGAAATTATTAAAGGTTAAGGCTTTTGATAATTCATATCAACAATATTACTTAATATTCCTTGTCTACTTTTCAGCTGAGATATTATCATTTTAAGTGTGACTTTGGCTGCAGAACTTATTCCCTCTGTACCCTGGCAATGTGGTCCTGAAAATATACCAACTGCATCTCCTGTAGAATTGTAAGATTGCCCCAAAATGGACCCCTTACCCCCAATGGACATTTGCAGACAAGGTTATAATTTTGAACCATTGTTTATTTTTGACTTAAAATCTCAACTTTAAATAACCATACAAGGTCTTGTTTGGAGGATTCATTTTTCAACCTTCTGCAACCTAAATGTAAAGTGGATGGGGTGGGGGGTTTGTATTTCTTCTCCCAGAAATTACTAGTCAACAGAAAAAAATGGTGGTAGATACACTGATTTGCCCAACTTTTATAATGAAGAAGGATGGAGCGTACAACAACTGAAACATCTTGAATATGGCAATAAAGATGAGGACAACAGCCCGAAAAATGTAAATAATGTAAACTGCTAATGCAATTTATCAAAAATAAATGTTCTTCAGGTATGTTTAAATTCCAAGCTGAATCCTTTTAGTCCACAGGGGTAGATTGTTCTAATTCCACATGCCATGCCTTTAAATATTTCAGTTTCAGTTATTTTACCTTAGTGACTCAACTCTTCCAAGTTTTTTGTTCCCTCTGCTGTGGCCAGGTATTAAACTCACAACCCCTTGGGACAAGTCACGTTTTGGATCACTCAACCAAGGGTTCGGTTCGAAATTTCAACATATATCACCTGAAGAAGGCCAGAGTGTACAATGGCTGAAACATCATGAATATGACAATAAAGATAAGGACCACAGTCCGAAAAATGTAAATAGTTACAATACCTCATGTCAGAAATATAGACAGATGCGTTAGTAGTGTGTAAAGTTCAGTTTTAAAAGCTCTGTATTGTGCATTCATTGAAAAACCTATACACAGAAAATATATAAAGAAAAAATGTTAAACGTGTTGGACAAGGAAAATTTAATTAATTATTCATTTAGTTTTTCCAAAATTCTTACATTTTTCTGTTTAGTAGGATTAATAAACGAGTGCAAAAATTATGCGTATGTCCATTGTCTCAGGCACTTTTAGTCAATTCTTTAGCCATTTCCACGAGGCTTTGTTTATAGGTGTTGTTTACGATTTCTCACACATACTTAGGAGATAAAAAGATAAATTTCTTTTCCTTTTAAGTCAATTTGATTCCCAGGGTTTCCTAGGAATTTTGTCTCCAGTTCATCTTTGAGTCAATTTAATTGCCAGAGTTTTCAGGATTCCTGTCTCCAGCCCACCTTTGAATTGGCAAACATAAAATTTTGTTAGTGATTTTAGATAATCACAAAAGTAGAGTCTCTTGAAAATTTGGCCACCCATCCAGCTTTTGGGTGGTCTCCTTTTCCAGAACACAAGTGAACAAATAGGGGGTTGGGACCCCAGCCAGTATCCATATAAGCAGAGAAAGGCAGGAAGTTAGCAGTAGATGACTAGCAGTGAGTTAGCAGTCACTGAAACCACAGGCAGTGAATGTAAGGATCCTCTTTCTGTGGCTGGAAGTTAGTAAGATAGTAGTTCACTTTTCAAAACTGAAGGAAGAATACCATGGTTAAGTGAGAAATCATGTTGCTTTTCCCCAATGACTGTCTTGAAAAGCATTTGTCATTATTCTTTGTTAAATTTGATCACAGCCTAAGAGAAAGTGAACATAGCAAGTTGGGTGTATATGCAGACACAGCGACCTTGGATATCATCCCAGTGTGTTAATATCTTATGTGTGGTGAAAAAAGTTACAGAAGGTAATTTCAGCAAGAGATTTGTAAAATTCCATTAGAAGTCAGTTATTGTAAATTTGATTGAAAGCAAATGAAATTGAAAGTTTCTTGCTGGATAACTTGCCATCATCTTTTACTTGAAAAATCCTTAAGAAAATTGCCAAATTAAATATTCATTGGTAAGCCATACTTTTGAAAAAATAACACTGAAATTGACATTTGCTATTTATAAGAATTCTCTGACTCAAAGAAAGGCTAAGATTTGTGTAAAATAATTTGATCAGGATTCTGATTGGATTAAAAAAAATATTAATGAGTTTGTAGGCTTTTCAATTTTTTTTTTTTATTTTAAATTAATCTTTTTGTTGGTTCCAATCTCATGGGAATGAATCCTAAGAACATTTCCCTCCTTCCTCAAATTTATAGACAGATGCATGCTGGGATTTCTCCCTGACCAATAAAAATGGATAATTCTCAATCTCATCTTTAATATTTTTGTTCTTTCTTCCCTTGAAGTCAGAACACTATAACCACTTGACTGTATTTGTTTGGCTTTTTGAACACTATTCTTACTTTGTGAACTTTTTGCGTTATTATTGTTGCTTTGCCTAGTTTTGACTTGCATATATATTGTTTACTTCGTATTATTTTGTTCTGTTCTTTTTCTTCCTTTTCTTATTATTTATTAATGTGATGCCATTCATGGCGTAATTGTGACAACCTTCTCTGATCATCTGTCATTCACTGCACCTGTAATGACATCCAAGGTTGAGTGTATTTGCATATATACCCAACTTGCTATGTGCACAGGTTTGTCTTCTTGGCCATGATTGCTTTCAATATTCAAAATAAAGACAATTGTTTTTCAAGACTCTCTGGTTAGGAAGTAGCAACAATATGATTTCTCACTTAAATGTGGGGATCTTTCCTTCAGCTTCGAGAGGTGGGCTGCTATCTTCTTAATTTCACTGGCCTTTGTGCTCAGTGACTCCTGATTCCTCACTACCGGTCCTTCTGTCTCTGGCTGCTGGGCAGCTCTCACTCCTCTGGTCACCTAGCTACTTTTCTCATGGCCGGACCCACTTTTTCCCCTTTCTGTTTATAATCCTGGGGTCCCACCCCCTCCATCCTCTTGTCTTCCAGAATATTTGGGACCGCCCCAAAGCCACATGGGTAGTCAAATCTTCAAAGGACTACTTTTATGACTATCTAAAATCATTTATAAAATTTTTATGTTTCCCAATTCAAAGGTGAACTGGAAACAAAATTCCTATGAAACTCCAATAGCTGAGTGGACTTAAAAGGAAGGAATTTATCTCTTTATCTTCTAAAAATGTGTGAGAAATCATACTGCTACATTGAGAACTTTATCAATTACACTTAACCGTGGCCAATTACTTCACATTTTTAAAGTGTTTCTCTTGGCCAGAATATTTGAATAATAAAAACTTATATTTTAATCTATATGTGAGCCTTTTTCTTTTCTTTTTTTTTTTTTTTTTTTTTTTTTTGTAAAAAAAAAATGTCTCCACTCAAATCATCATTATATTGCCTGATACAGTATTAACAATCTGTCTTTTATTTTCAGGGTGGGGATCCTGATTTTAACAATATTTCCAAAATGGTCTTAAATGATTGGCAGAGAGGTCGGATTCCATATTTTGTAAAGCCTCCCATTAAAGAAGTAAGTTTTTTGTGAGAAAGTTATATCAAGTTCCTTGGCTTTTCATTTTCATGAAAGATATTTTTATTCTATTTCTATTTTAAAGAGGATGAATATGTTCACTAAAATAATTTCTGTTCATACCAAATCAGATAAGTTGCTATGTAATGAAATATTTGTTTTTTTTTTTCATTTTATTGACATTTTTTTTAGCGTTTCATTTTATTTCATTGTTTTTTTTTTTTTTTTAAGAACTAATTAGATAATATAAAGTTTAAATTATACTCCGAGTTATATTGCAATTATTTTTTAAATATCAGATTTTTAGATACTTGTTAAAATTTCTTAAATAATTTTTTTTTTCAATAATTTTCTTAAGAAAATAGTATTTTTAATTATTATTACTACCTTTGTTGTGCACATAGCCAAGTGGTTAGAATGTTCATTTTCTGACCATGAGACCTGGGTTCAAATCTCACTATGGTTGATTTGTCAGGAAGGTGGCTTCTTGATGATGTCTGTCTGAAGGAGGCAATCTCAGCACTTTTGGAAAGTGCCTGGAAACCATACCACGGGTTGATCCAAGGCTTGTGAGTGAAATTGAGCAGAAGACCTATTTAGATTCTGTTGATGGTTGTGTTAGCACAGAGTTACAAGTCATCATGAGGGTTTGAGCATGCTGGCTTTGTTCAGGCTATTGTTCATGCCAGATAATACACTCTCTTCCAGAAACTAACTAAGGTATGCTCAGCATAGTTGCAGTATAAACCACATATGGTCTCTGGGTGTGGAACAAACACAAATGTGCCTGAGCAGGCTTCTGCAATGGGGATTAGCTAGCTGCCCTAGTAGACAAGCATACTCAAATACAAGCAGCCTCTGTCTATACACTTTTCATACATTACATTTAACAATTATTATTTGTTAGAGATAGTACTAATTTTCTTTTGTAACACCTAACTCGGCATTAAATTATTTTTATAATGTAAATAACCACTCTAAACGTTATTTTAATGGATACACGTTTGAGTGAGATGCCCTGTTTTTTAAACATTGTGAATTACGTTTACTGACCTGCGCATTCAAGAAACTTAATAAAGAGAATTTGCTCTCCAGCAGGGTCCACAGGTTCCACAAAGCTGGACATTGATGATTTTCCAGCTGCAGGGTTAGGATGACAGTTACAGTTGAGATCAAAGTAGTCAGTTTGGATCTCTAAAGTGACTCCTTGTACTTTCTCAGGCTCACGCTCTCTGCTAATATAAAGTGGAAAGACTATATTGAATCCATTGCTAGGTCAGCTGCTAAGAAAGACGTTCACTATGTCGAGTGAGACAATTTCTCTCTCCAGAATCTTTCTTGCATATCTGTAAGTCTACCATTTGTCCATGCTTAGAATATTGCTGCCATATATGGTCTGGTACCCCAGCTATTTACCATGAGCTCCTTGATAAGATCCAGAGAAGAATTTGCAATATTATTGGTCCTGATCTGGCTCAGCTCCAGTCACTTTCCCTTCACTATGGTACCTTGACTTTATGAATTTAAATGCAACACTAGACTGCCATCAAGATCTCATCAATTTACAGTTGAGCTGGCTAGATGTAGCCGTAAGTTCTATGCTAACAGTTTCTTCTATCACACTTTTTGCTTGTAGAACTTCCTTCTGGCTCCATGCTTTTCAGCTAACTTTAATCTAGTGGCTAATATAACAAATGGTTCTGTAGAATCAGATTCCTACATTTTTTTATATCTTAAATTTTGTGCAAGTTAAACACATAGAGGCTCCCAGCCAAATATAACAACTGATGTATTTTGATTGGTTGTAAAATATTAATTAGGTGTCGTCAACTACGTCCGAAGGTACCGACCCAAATTTTGACCTCTAGTTGACGCCATAAAATGTAAACGTGTTTACGAGCCTCCCCACGTGACCAAGAGAACTAATAAAAACGAAACTTCGACGCGACTTGGTCAGTGGGCACTTAAAATATTGAAACCAATTCACTTGACTTCATTGGAAATCAACACAGCAAAGGAGACAAACTTTATCTTCAATACAACAACAAACTTTGTCAACCATCTCCAGGCTTAATGCTCACTCCCACAAAATATTCCATTCCACAAGAATCTCTGGTTAATGAGCGATAACAATCAGTGAGTCAAGAACAATACTTTTTTTCTATTTAATACACAAAAAAACATCTGTTTAATTTTCCTATAAAAACAAATATAGCTAACTAAACCTTGTCATTTTCACACATACAGTACAGTAGCTCAAATTCTTTCAGTAACACACACACACCAAAGAACTCTATTGTGTTTATCAACTTTTGCACTATATATTATGTATTTGTTGTGTTTATAAAAAAATATTTATTGTTGAACAAATTCGCATTTTCTTCTACTTGATTATTTCTCTTGTTGTGGTCTTTGTTACATTTGATATTGTAAAAATTGTAGAGGGTCAGTTTTTATTTCTATTTATAACCAATACAAATTGGCTAACCCACTATAGTTCAAATCATTCCCAGCAACAAGAGTTACACAGACAATGGATCAGTTGAAATATAATAACAGCAAAAAATAGGTTCAACTGTCTAAACAACTCATAGAATAATGATCTCTCTTCTCAAGACTCCTTTTTGTTGTTGCTAATGATATTGTATTGCCAGCCACATGTCGTGGTGTTGAGATAAGCAGAGAGTTGGCAGATGAAAGAACTGAAGGGAAGAGATATTAATTAGCTGACATGACAGCAGTTGACCCAAGTATTGCCTACCTACTCACTCTGCTAAACATCAAGTTTTATAATTAACTTGGAGCTTTGTGCTAAACTCAGCAAAGCTTAGTAATGAAAAGAAAACGAGACTTGCTTTAAAATGCAAGGTTTTGCATTGAGCTATAAATTATCATCATCATCATCATCATCAGCAACAACAAAAAAGAGGAATCATCATTCTATGAGTTGTTTGTATTGTTGAACTTATTTTTTGCTGTTACTATGTTTCAACTGATCCATTGTTGTTGGGAATGAGTTGAACCATTTGTTATATTAGCCCCCATTCCTTTCTCTCTGCCTAATTTTTTTCTGTATTATATAAAAAAAAAAAGGGTAAAAAAGCCCTCTCCCTTTCTTTTTGGATTGTACACCTGTAAAAGGCTGTAGAATGGATTGGCTGAAACAATTTGCTAACAACAAAACAATGAGGTGGTTGGAATGTCAAACTAAACCCTTTATTTCACTCGCTGGGGTAGACTGTTCTAGTTCCACATGCCATGTCCTCAAGGACACATGGCACAGTGGATAAAGGCATTAGTTAGATCCAGTGACAGGATACCAAAGAGTATGAGTTCAATACCTGGTTAAGGCAGTGGAGAACTTGGAGAGGGGAATTAACAGGAGATAACTGACATCCATTAGACATGGCACGTGGAACTAGAACAGTCTACCCCAGCGAGCAAAATAAAGGGTTCAGTTCGACATTCCAACCACTTGAAGAAGGCCAGTGTACAATGACCAAAACGTTGTGATAAATATGGTAACAAAGATGAGGACAATAGTCTGAATAATGTAAATAGTGTACATAATACTTCATCTCAGAAGTATAGACAGATAACAAAACAGTGAGTTTGAATAATTCAAATATTTTGTAGAATGAAAGGGAATGATCAAAAGATTAAAATTATCATTGTTAAATTTGTGGTAATATTTAAAGTGAAATCTTGTTATTCTGTAATTGTTTAATACAAAGCAAAAATACTTTCAAATTCTGAGACAAAATACGTTTTTGCTATTCTATGGATTCTTCAAACACATATCTTCACACAAGAAAGATGAGGTTATTGGTTTCATAGAACAATGAAAATATTTGTGTCTTTGTCTTTATTGTCCAAAAACAGTTATCTAAATAAATTCATTCCTTAAATATTAGCAAAAGTTAATTTTAAAACTTGAGAAAATCTTTCTCGAAAATAAATAACAAATATTTATTTTGGTAAATTTTATTTAATAATTTAAAGATTTTTTATAGAAAATAAATTATTATTAATAATAATAATTTAAAAGATATAGAAAATAATAATAATTTAAAATGATTTAATGAACACACTTAAAAGATATCAGAAATAAATTAATTAAATAAGACATTTCCATAGAAAATAAATCATTCATTGAATAAAGTTTTGAAAATTTGATTTAAAATTTGATTTAATATAAAAATAGATTAAAAAAATAATTTAATTTAATTTGGTTAAATAATCAGATTTATTATAGAAAATAATAATTTGAAAAGATTTTAAAACATTTAAAAAATTTGAAAGATCTGAAGATTGAAGATTTAATAATTTAAAATATGTAATATAGAAAATAAGTTACTAATTAATAATTTAAAAGATTTAATATCAAAGATAATAATTAAAACAGTTTAATAAAAGATTTTTAATATAGAAAATATATTATTTGTTAAATAATGATTTAATTTGAAAATTTGAGAAAACCTTTACAGAAAATGATGTTGAATAAAAACCAATGTTTTTTTTTATTTATTTTTTAATTAACAAAATTTATTATTCATTTTTTTTTTTTTTTTTTTTTTTTTACCAGAATGATGAGAATGACAAAATAGAAGAGAAAACTTCCAGTATGACACAGAAAGAGAATGAACCAAAACCAATTGTAGATTCTAAAGAAGCAGGGAATGCTGCCCCAAAGAATTTTGCTCCTCAAGTGCAACAAAACTTCAGCAAAATTCGAGTTGAGCCTGAATTTGTGGCTGATGATGTCCAGAAAATTGAACTTGACATCTCCAGAGATGATTCTGACATAGAACCATCTGATGACGAAGACGTTCAAGATGATCTGAAAGATGAAGAACCACCATTAGGACTCGTCATGCACAATGATAATGAGGCTGATGATGATGGTGCCCAGAAATTTGTTGAATTGATGACTTTGTCAGCAAGTGATGCAGTAGAAAAGCCTGGCAGTAATACTACAACCAATAATAGTGATGATGATGATGATAAAAAAGATGAAGAGAGAGATACCTTAAAACTTCACAAAGACTCTAAAGACCAGCAAAGTAAAGAACGAACTAAAGTTGGTAATAAGGTTAAAAAGACTGTTTCTGATAAGAGAAAAGTTTCTAAACTGAGCGATAATGAAACAAAGCCATTGTCAAATGAAGGAGAGAGTGAAGAAGTAGATGATTCTTCTGAAGAGACAGTGTTAGACACACAAGACAGTTGTTCCAGATTGACAAAGAAAGAAAAGAAGTTACAGTTATTGGAAAAAGATAACAACAAATTACAAAAAACGTTTGAAACGGTTCCATCCGGAAGCGGAAATTTCATCGTGATGCCAATGAGAGAAGCTGCTGAAGACGGTAACTTTTTTTTTCTTCTTTTTTTTTTTTTCTTTACTATAGATGCACATGTACTAATCTTAATGACTCCTATCAAGGTTGACTATGGTGGTAACAACTTCTACTCCTGGCTAGATAAGGTAGTTATGGAAAAGTGGTTTCGCCAAGTGCTTACTCACCCATCCACTCACTCCATTCTCTGTCAACATATTGTCAAATACGAGAGCAAAACATTTCGTCTTGGGAAGAAATGGCACAGGGAGAAATGGATTCATGCTTTTTCCATGAGTATTAGTGTATAAGCAGCATCAGACAAAATTGGAATCTGCTTTTCTCATTTAATTTGGTTCTTTTAATCATCAAATTTCAATATTTGGTGCATGTATGGGGCTCAAGCATTGGTGTTTTGACCATAAGACTTTGATTCAAATCCCACCATGGTCAATTTGATAATATTGATCTGGGAAATGATCATAATGTGTGACAATGTTGGGAAGTATCATAAAATGATAGTTTTCATTTATCTATTATGTTGGTCAAGTGGGTGGCTACTTTTGAAGATCCTATTTCATAGACTTTACTGTTGATCATAAAAAACATCTTACCGTCTTGTATGTGGGTGCCCTCTCTCTTGCACACATACTCTCTCTCTCTATCTATCTATCTATATATATATATATATATATAAAGTATTATGTTGGTCAAGTGGGTGGCTAATTTTGAAGATCCTATTTCATAGACTTTACTGTTGATCATAAAAAACATCTTACCGTCTTGTATGTGGGTTCCCTCTCTCTTGCACACATACACTCTCTCTCTCTCTCTCTCTCTCTATATATATATATATATATATATATATATATATATATATATATATATATATATATATATATATATATATAAAATAAAGTATATGAGAGAGGAACATGGCTGAGTGGTTAGAATGTTAACATTCTGACCATGAGAACTGAGTTTAAATCCCATTATTACCAATTTATAAAGGAGGTGACTTCCAGACTATGTCAACCTGTCAGATTATCCCTGCATGTGGTACTGTCAGGGAAATACCAGAGCTGGAACCAAATAGTAACTTATTTTCTATATTACATATTTTAAATTATTATTTTCTATAATAAATCTTTGATTATTTAACCAAATTAAATTATTAATTTATTTTTTATATGAAACTGTTCAGAAACTGTCAGTGGTAAAGCTAGCACAAAATCATAAGTCATCATGACCGAGGAGGATATGAATAATTTTTTAAAATCCTTATCAATTATTTTTATTGATCTTTAAGCAATTACATAAGTCATACAAGCCTGTTTCATTGTATCACAGCTCATCAGTGTGGCTAGACATCCAATTGCTTCAAGCTGGGATCAATACCCAACCAATTTGGCATCGGTCAGAGATCCTACCCCTAAGCTATTGGCACATGACAGAGAAAGGGAAATTTTAATGTAGTATATACAGGTGTATATAAGCGCCAGCAGCCTCAATTCATTAATGAGGAGTGGTGCATTAATAGTGGCGGCAGCTACTGTTTTGAAATTACCGTTTTCTTTATAGTGCTTGATCGAATAATAAGAGCACACACACACACACACACACACACACGCGCGCGTGTGAAAATATGTAGAAAATAGGAAAGAACTCGTTAGGTAAATAATCCAAAGTTCTTTAGTATTTTTGTTAGTGCTCAATACACAAGTGGAGCCTAAATATAAGCCCTACCCAATAATAATAATAATAAAAAAAACCCTTTATGAAGTCGTCAAAAAAAATAAATGTTAGCTAATTATGACAGTCTTTTATATACACAAAACCCTTTCAGGAAAGAAAATGAAATAAAAAAATAAATAAATCTCCATAGACACTTAACCAGACTAGACGATGTCATCTTCTGCTTTAAATTTAGACACCCCAACTTGACTTGACTTGACCTCTTTGAATGTAACTGATATATTGATACAAGTTATTAACCCTTACGCCCCCTTTTTTTTTTTTTTTTTAAATAATTTCTCTAGCCGTTACCATAGTAATTTTAATTTTAATAATGAATATGCTTATAAAAACGCGTAAATTTCAAGAATTAGTTATTCCAAAAAAATTTTGCTTGAAGATGGAACAGAGCTTGGTACTTTAATTCAAATAATTATATTGAAGTTTTCTTGTTTTGAAACATCAGAACTCTTATGTAGTGATGGAATCATATTTTTAAATAAATAATTATATATATATATATATATATATATATATAGAGAGAGAGAGAGAGAGAGAAAGACAGACAGACAGTTCACTTATTCATCAAATATTATGATATGCCAGAAAATTAAAATAGGAGAACTAAGATTTTTACCTGGTAATTATAATTTTGTTATTCCTTAGTTAGGACATATCTTATGTCCTGCCCATAACTCATAAATAATAGACAATTCCATTTTGATAATGGGGGAAAGATGTAAAAAAGAAAACAAAGCAAATAAAAGAGACACAGTCACTTGTCTGAGTTTCTTACCTGCCCTGGCTGTCCTTAGAAACACTGTTAAGAACGCCTTCCTCCTCACTGCTTTGACTTTGGTCTCATTCGTTCTTTTATTGTTTCACAAAGTACTCGGTCCAGGTGTTTGGTTTAAATTTGCATATGGATATGCAAATTGCATCACTCTCCCAACATTCTGGCTTATCTATTGTGTGTTCCTTCTACTCTGATAAATCAACCTCAATTGGTTAATATGAGGCTCAGGTTCAAATCACACTGAAATCACTTCTGCTTACAGCTACAAACAATGCATGTTGCCATGCAAATTCTTTCCGCAGCAGGCGAATGACGCCTTCTCTCGGCAACTCTTTTGTTACATTCCTCCCTGATGTCCTCATAAAAAGTGTAGCTGGGTGCACACCTCTTTACCCAGGTGCTCTGAGTGGGGGAGCTCTGGCTTCTTCCTGGGATGAACTACATCCAAGACAGTCATCAGGCAATTTGTCATGATCATCATCTGTTGTAGAGTGGTTTCACAGTGGAGGCTTGTATTTGTATTAAGTTGGTCCTAAAATAGGTTCGACGTACAAAACGTTAGGAACTTGATATAATAGGTAATGATGCAGTAATCTAGTTGTGGTGGCTGATACTTTAATATCCGACTAATGGTGGTCCGACATCGACTGACTGACCAACTCCCTGAGTGACTCCTACTACTCCTACTTATTAGAGGTGGGAGAGTCTATTAACTATAGAATAGGTGTGTTCCACTATAACATCAGATTCTGAGTAACTGTTGTCAGAAGTATCATCTAAAAATACTGACCTTAGCCTTTTTAACAGTTCACTTTCTTCTGACATATCTCTGGTGTTCCTGAATAGCGCACAAGCTCTCAAAAAAGGGCACAAGTTTTTTACGTGACAAGGGGCTTCATTAACTAGCACTGAGTAAGGACTGTTGATTCCGGTCACCTAGCCCATCGTGGATATACTTGTACACCTGCCATGTGGGATTCTGACCCATAGAACGTCCAGAACTCTCTCTGGGCATTTTGTGGCTCAGTGGTGGTCACTGGATCAATATCAACCTCACTGCAGTTGAGGTTGAGACGTTATACCAGTAGACTACCTCTGGTATGAAACATTGTTTCCTACCTGCAATGGTTTTTACACTTCTGTGGCTTCTCTCGACTATACCGTTTCCCACCGATTCATGGGCACACAAGAATCAAAGATGTATGCCCCAGTCACGTAGGAACAGCTGAGAATGTTGGTCGGTAAATGTGGTGCCATTATCAGTCAGGGTACCAATGGGTGCGCCACACGCATAAAATATAGACTCCAGCTAGCATACAACACTTGCCAAATCCTGCCGATTCAAGGGGCACCAGACAGCAAATCAGAAGGGATCATTATCAATAAGTGTAAGATAGTGGCCACTGTCATGATGAGTGATGTCTGCTCCTAACCTGCTCCTATTGTCCTTCATGTCAAGCCTCCCTTTTTGCCAGTGTAAAGGTGCAGGATCAATTAATTGGCATGACTCACGTCTGCTATTTGTACACTGGCTTATAAAACAGTTGGGTCTTTCCGTTTGGCCAAATATAACATGCATTTTATTCCAGGGTGCCAACTCCATTGATGGCTATGTACTATTTGCTGAATGCTCAGCTGATTTGCAGAAGCAGCGCATATATGCTGGAAGTGCTCAACTTCTGTTTTTACTCTGCTCAGCCACCACTGTAGTAATCTTGTTAGTTGGTTGACTTTGTTGTTATCTGACTTGACTATGGCTCCATCCACCGATAGCCCATACACATTAATTAGGTCTATGAGCCTGTCAAGCTGTCTTTATAGTATCATTTCACTGGCTGCATTTGTGGTTAGTTGTGCCTTCCCTGTTAGGGCATTTGAGATCCATTGGTGGACGCAGGTTGAATCTGCCATGAGATGTAGTGTCTTCGCTGCCACTGGAGCACTAGGTTGATTCCCTTCAGCACTGCATCTAGTTCTGCCAGGTTAATGTGTTGCATGCATCGTCAATGACTGATTCATTGGCTTCCAGCACAGCCCTGGTAACAAGAGAGCTTGTGTCCACCCAAACTGTGAATTCGCATATGTTTACACACCAATCACCTCTTATGGGATTGTCTCACCATACCCTAGCCAGCATATCTACGAGCATGCTCCTGATGGGTGTGTTGTTTGTTTCGTCATCCCAAGCAGTTGTAACTTTGTTGGCATGATGTTTCATGTATGCTGTCACCATGCGGAGCCAACTGTAAACGGGGAAAATCACCAACAAGATTTCCACACATTGAGAACATCATTTGCCATGTCATAACAGGCGTGAACTCTGGAATGTCGCCTCCTTGTGCTCAGTGTAGTCTGCTGCCATCATTTTGAATGTGCAGCCCAAGCACTTGTGGCCTGTCTTGAAGCCATTTTGGAATTTTGCAGGCTATTTCAAATTTTGCCAGGTGTTCCTTCACCTGATCAGTGAATGCTAGACATTCATTGACTAGGACGTTGTTGATGTATGACAATGTGACTCATTGTATTGCTCTATCCTGGAACATCACTGAGCTCATAATGGATCACATTATCATTGGTGCAACGTTCAGGCCAAATCCAAGTTGCGTGAGGCAATACCTCTTCCCATGTAACATTACTGCCTGATAGGGCCACAGTAATTTGTGTAGGTGTACCTGAAGATATGCCCTCCTCAGGTCCAATATAGCAACATCAGATTCCTCACACCACCATTTCCACAACTTTCGTGTGCTCTTTTTTTATTTTTTTTTTTATTTTTTTTTTTTTAAGCATTTCACCCCAAGCAAGGCGGGAAGCCACTAGGACGCAAGGGGTTACAGAAAATATAGAGTGAGATCAGATAGGAGTGATAGAAGAGGGTATGAGGAGAAGGGTAGTGGATAGATCAAGGCAACTGGAGATGTCGATTGACATTACACTTGAATAGCTGGAGATTATAGCTCTCAGGGAAACTGGAATAGGGAATGGAGTTCCATGGGTAACATTGCAGATTCTTTGGATTTTATCAAGAATCTCTAAATACATAGCAGAGCACCAGACCAGATGTGACATCAATATTGAATACATGGAAAAATGTTAAACTTATAAATATGTAAGATAGATTCTGGTGAGATAAATTATCTAGCATGACACAGTGAACCATGTTAGCAGCAGACCTTGCAATTGGTTCAATATAATCTTTCCACTTCGTATCAGTGGAAAACGTTAGCACAAGAAGATGAAAAGTGATTCATAGAAAAGAAAGAAATGGCATTAGAGATATTCAAATAGGAAAAACTGAAATTTTCACAGATACACCTAATGTGTGTGTATTAATCATTTCACCCCAAGGAAGGCAATAAACCCGCTAAGATGCAAGGCGTTACTGAGTGTTAGAGAATATAAGAAAAAAACACTATTAAGGAGAGAATAAAAGAACAAGAATTGATAAGACAGAAGATTTAAATTTTTGAAGATCAAAGGAAATAAAAATAAATTTTTGAATATATGTATTCCCAGTTACCTGATTAGTTTGTCGGTAGCATGAAACGTGTTAATTCTTTTTTTTTTCTTTTCTGTAGAAGATTTTTTGTACAAATTAAGAGATCCAATTCCAGTTGATGTTGATAGTAACGTGAGTAGCCCAGCCGCTTCACATTCTCCTGAGAAGACGAAGGAAAAGAAGAAGAAACATAGGAAGAGGAAGCAAGAAGATTCTGAAGGAGAAGTTAAATTGACTGCTAAACAGGTGAGTAAATTAAGTTTTGAAACTAATTAACCTGTAATCAAGTAAATGTATATCATACTGTGGTTCTCTCCTTATCCACAGTTTCGTTTTTCTGCCTTTTTCACTTGCCAACATTCAGCCACAGAAATAAATGATTTGTACGTTTTACTTGCTGGACGCAAAGTGCAAGAGTGCAGGTGTAACAAAGAGAAGCCGTAAAGTGGCTTCCTTTAAAGAGAAAAAGTGTGAAAGTTCTTAATAAGAAAAGAAAAAAAAATATCACATACTTAAGTTGTTAATATCTAGAGCAAGAACAAATCTTCTGTCCATCATATAGCTTTTATTACAATCTATTGTTTAAATTGTTTGATTTTATGAGGAGTTTTTGTTGTTAATCTCTTTTTTGTGTCTACTTATCTGACAGGTAGGAGAATCATTCTCACCTCAGATCTAAGGTGAGAATGATTCTCCAATCCGTCACCTGACTTTTATTAAAGCCTATTATTATTAGTCATTGTTGTTAATCTCTTGTTGTGCCTAATAAGATCTACAGCAAGAGCAAATCGTCTCTCCTCTAACTTTTATGACAGTCTGTTGTTTAATTATTCTATTTTATTATTAGTTGTTGTATCTAATTCAGAAATAAAACCATCACACACACACACACACATATATATATATAGAGAGAGAGAGACTTTTTTTAAAATTATAAGCTGTATAAGGTCTTTCTTTAATATGTTTTTTAAAATGTGTTAACACATTTAAAAAAAAAAAAATACATATTTCAATTCGCATTATATTTTTTTCATCTCAGATGCTACCTGAATTTTACCAAAAACAAAATAATTTCCATGCTTGAAGATGACTGAATATACAGTTGAAAGTACTTGCATAATAAAGAAAGACCATATATATATACGGTGACAGTATGACGTGGAGTTTCATGCACTATAAAAGAAATGGTCATACATAGAAACAAATACTTGCTCAAGCAAGTTGACCCAGATTAATATATTTTTTTCTCATTCAGACCCCACATATACTATTGCTAATGCTATTATTATTACATTATTAGTATTAATATTAATATTGTTATTATATTATTAATGTTATTTATTATATGATATTAAAATAAATCATGTTAAAAATTGCTACACAATAACTTGTATGTTTCAGCACTCAAATTGTGCCTCCTCAGGCGATGATAAATAACTGTTGAATAAAAAATTATTTTCGCTATTTACATTATTCGGACTATTTTCCTCATCTTTGTTGCCATATTTATTACAACATTTCGGCTGTTATACGCTCCGGCCTTCTTCAGGTGGTTGGAATGTTGAACTGAACCCTTTATTTCGCTCACTGGGGTAGACTGATCTAGTTCCATGTGCCATGTCTAATAGATGTCAGTTATCAGTTATCTCCTGTTAATTCCCCTCTCCAAGTTGTCCACCGTCTTAACACCAGGTATTGAACTCACACTCTTTGGGTCCTCAAGGACACATGGCACAGTGGATAAAGGTGTTAGTTAGATCCAGTGTCAGGATACTACCAAATTTAAAGTTTAACCATATTATAAGGTGAAAGGTAAGCTATGCCTACAAATTAGTCAATTCATTTTGGCTTAATAAAGAATTTTTATCAACAAATCTAATTTCTTGTGTAAACATAAGAAGCAAAGTTCATTTAAGGATTTGCAAGTTCTAGCTTTTTTCAAAACTTTCCATTTAACCATAGGAGTTTTATTAACCTCTTTTAAATTCCAAAAATATTTGGAGAAAGATGTTCTATTTTTATAAATGTTATTTGTGAAAGATAGGATATGCTGGTACCACCTAGTTTTAAAAGAATTCTTAGTACTCTCTATATAAAATTTTTCAACAGTCGGATTTTCTATTGTAGAAATAGTGCTTAGGTAAACAAGAGAGTTGGTCAGACATTTGTTTTGAAGAGGGCACTCTTCTTAGCTTCTTATAAAATTGAACAAGCTACATTTGTTTCATAATTATGATACATGGTTGCCACTTGCTTATAGTGTGCATTAATTTCTTGTCTGCCACTCATGACCTTATCTAGGATTATATTTCAAACCACGTTTTACCATGATCAAAATTCCCCCTTTTACAAGCCTCATTTTAATTTTGATTTATTATTATTTGCTTTTGTAATTTAAAAATAATTTTTTACTCACCAGTTATTTATCATCACCTGAGGAGACACAATTTGAGTGCTGAAACATGAAAGCTATTGTGTAATGATTTTTAGCATGTTTTTGTTTTAATCTCATATAATAAATAATATTAAGCTCTAATCTGTATTGAGCCTGTTTTTCAAAATTAAATGACAGTAGAATTATACTCCATTTGTTCTTTTCTCATACCTGGATATTATTAATGTTATCACATTATTATTATTATTGCTATGACTTATTAATATTATGATTTATATTATTTTTATTTCCTTTGATTTCTGGTGTACAATCATTTTCTGACCTAAGTTCAGAAATGGCATCATGACATTTTTCACTGAGCAGTTAAAAAAAAAAATCACATATTTTACATAGATAAAGCCCTTCATAAGATGTGTGCTGTTCTTGTGAGAACAATTTATCATTATGTAGTGTGGTCTGTACTTGTGAAAACAATTATTATTATTATTATATCACTGCTTACCTATTGTTTTTATTAAGGCAAAAATAAAGAGTTATCTCTCTTGATACATAACATATTTAACTACCAGTGTTCTAAGCTGATTAAATGTTAAATTAAATTGGAATTTTAATTTTTAGAGTAAATTTGAACCTAAATTTAGATCATAACACAGTTAAATATTTAATAATAATAATTTATCCAACTAACAGCATGAAACCGAGAAATTTTGACCAGATAACGACCAATTCTTTTATTCCTGATGATTGTATAGTGCATAAAACTCCTAGTCGTAGTGTTGTATTATGTGTATTTATTAATATATATTTTATTATACTAAAGGTTATATATATATATATATATATATATATATATATATATATAACCCATAAAATTATATATATTTTCACATACATATATATACGCACACACACATATATATAACCCATTAATATATAAGCTTAAAAGCCATCCTCTTGGGTGGAATTTAACCTACCTCCTGTGAAGTGCTCTTGATTGAGCCTTCATCATAATAATTAAGGAAGAGTAGATGCGATAGGCAACAATAAACTACAGAAGAAATCAAAATTGATTGCTGCATTTAAATATTGTATTAATATTTAAGATTACCTTTTAAAAGTTCAATGATAATATCATTGATAAACATCATATAGTGACTTATTCAGGTGCCGTCCAGTTTATTTTTAATTTTGTATGTACGTAATCAACTCCTTAGTTTAGCTTGGTGAAGATACCCCATTGATAATTCAGTTTGACCCTCTTAAGATCAAAAATCACGACATGGGTAAGAATGGTTATAGTTGAAGAGGTCAACTTAAAGACCAGCAGCTATGTCAAACGCCATCAACGACCGATGAGTGTGGGCTGACAGCTTGTTCTCTGATACCAGGATCGATCCTGACCAAAGACAGCAGTACCATGCACGTCCTTAAATTTCCACTGGTGGTTGATATCTAAAATATAAACACATGGCAAGTGCAATTTTGAAACGTTCCATTTTTACTAGCCATTGAACAGTTTGCTTTAAGGCAACTTCTTCTTTGTGTCATGTACTCTCAGGACATAGATGATCATGGCTCTCCACAATTTCCTGTCCTTTATAGATCTTAATAAATTTTCTCTTTTTGTTTTCTCCCAAACCCTGTTCTGCTATCCATTTAGTCAAGCTCGCTAAGTACGTTGTTTTCTTCTGTCCCTCTTGCCTTCAGTCTGTCCTGTGAGTATTAGATTTTCCAAGCTCTCTTTCCTATTTATGCATCCTAGAAATTTCAGCTGTTTCTTCCTGATGTTAAGTATGTTTCCTTTTTCTCTAGAACTTTGCTGTTCTTCCCATATTCAGTTCTTGGTATCCTCAGTATCCTTCTGTAGAACCACATTACCGAATGGTCTGGTTTAAACAAGGTTGTTGTGTGGGCATAACATACAGTGGGTGCAAAGAACACCTGGACACACTTGATAAATCCGATGTCTACATCTTACTGTTATTTTCAGTCAGACTAATATCATCTTTATGGCTTACAGCCACATCACAGTGAAACACTGGTTTCTGTACACTCACTGAAGTGAAACAACATTGAGCCTGGTCAGTACCTAATTGGGCGACCACTTGATAATACTAAGTGCTGTAAGCTTGGATGTGCAGGTGGTGTAATGGATAACGGCTTCAAATTATTAAGCGGAGAGCAGAGTTCCAATTCCCATTAGGTTTGTTATATTCACTTGCGTACAAATACCCCTGGGAATATCCCTGTTACCATTGCTGATTCATATTATCCACTGTATTACTGTGCTCAAATTCACTGTTTGGTCTCTATAAAAATTAAGCATGTGTTGACATTCTTTGACATGGAAGAATCCAGTGACACAATTCTACTGTATATGCACTTTCATGTCAGACATAATTTTGTCAGAATATCACTCAGCTGTTATCAATAACAAGTGGAAAAATGAATATGGGTTATTAGCAGGTTCAGCATCAGTTGCATTATCACCAAAATCCACTTCTGACATTGTAGACCAACATTATAAAATACAGGTATTATTTTTAGAATTAACATCATATATTAAATATTTTTGCAGTAATCCAAACATTTCCCTCGCCATGATCCCTAAGAAGTGTTTCCAATAGTCAAAAGAAAAATTTGCAAATGTAACAGCTATTTTGGGAAGGTAGTTGTCTTAATACTAAAAACAGTTAATAATATTTGCTTTTGTTATTTAAACCTAAATTACTCGGTTCCAATTGCAAACATTTCAATGTTTATTCCTGGATATTTTACATAAATTTCCCTCTATCAAAACAAACCAGAATCAGGAGCAACAAATGGCCAGTACAAAGTTGCTCATATAGACAGCCTTAGTTTGACTACAAATTAGTCTTTGTAATTCTTTTCATTGATTAGATGTCAAAGCATTGTACCAGTAAACAAGTACTATGGGCCCAAAGGGATCGTCTTAGAGAACATTTTTTTTCTTCTCTAAATAAGATAAAAATAATCTCAGGAAAGTCAAGTAGTAGTCATGACAAAAAATAAAGTATTATCGGTTGAACAGGTTAATATCTCTTTGTAGAATTTGATGTGATTGTTCTGGTTACTATCACCGTTAATTTTTATGTGTCAAATCCTTCCGTGATGGGCTTATGGCCACATTACATTGAAACACAGGTTCCTGTATGATCACCAAAGCTAAGCAATGTTGAGCCTGACCAGTAACTAGATGGGTGACCACTTGGGAATACCAGATGCTGTAAGCTTGGATGTGCAGGCAACTCAGAATTATTAATCATTGAAGCAAGTTCCAATTCTTGTTAGGTTTGTTACATTCACTTAAACATGAATGTCCTAGGGAAAGGTATGAATCTACCTCATCTCCTCCCAGCTATGGGTTAATTAATAAGACTTCTACCACTAAAACTATTATCTCAAAAAAAAATTCTTACAATCTAAAAATATTTTTTGGCTTTAAGTAACCTGTAAAAAGTTGAGAAACCATAGAAAATGAATCCACCAAAAAACCTTCCAAGATGTAGGTAATCATGGCTCTCCCTAACTTCCTGTCTTTTGTTGCTTTAAGTAACTTTTAACCTCTTATCATCTTCGTTCTGCCATCTATTCACACGTCATTTATTTGCATTTTCCCTGCCTTCAATATTTTCTACAGGTATCATAGAAATTCCAGTTGTCTCATTCTGATTGTAAATATAGGTTTCTTTGCTGTTTCAATTTTCCTTAAGAATTTTTCATTGCTCATATTCTTTTGTCTACGGTATTCTCAGCATCCTTTTGTTAAACTACGTTCCTGCTGTTTCAAGTTTCTTCTTCAGCTGTGAGGAAATTGTCATTCACTACCCAGATAGATGTATTTCTGCATCCACTTGATTTTGACCTTCCCAATATGTAACTCACAATGTGGGGTTGCCTTATTTATTAACTTTTCTTTGTGACAACAAATATCATTGGCCTATCAGTGGAAATGTCTATTTGTCAACCTTAGAAAATCTTTTGTACACACAAAAAAAAACAGTGTGTCAAAAGGACAGTTTTTCCCTTGACACTGCTATTATTTTAACTACCTTCACTCCTAAACAATGTTTGGCTTACAGCCACATGGTCACTAAAGTTAAATAATGTTGAGTCTGGTCAGTATACCTAGATGGGTGATGTAAGCTTGGATGTGTAGTTGGAGTAGTGGATAAGGGCTCGGAATTGTTTATCGGAGAGCGGAGTTCCAATTCCTGTTGGGTTCATTATATTCACTTACATGCAAATAAACATGAGAAAGTTATGAATCTTAGTAAGACTTTATCACTAAATCATTATCTCAAAAAAAAATTCTGGCTTTAAATAACCTGCAAAGGGTTGATAAAGCATAAAAAAATAATCAATCAATAATCAGCATTCTTTTTCTTTAAAGTGATGAGTAGAATTTAAAAACCTAAATACATGAAAGTGGTTTTATACATTTTTTGTTCTTGACAAAAAAAAAAAAAATTGTTTATTTACACTATTTGATATATTGATTATTGGAATGGTTGGCAAAACATTGTCTAATTGCCAATCAATTTGAACTTTATAAAATGGTAAATAATAAGGATTTCATAGTTTATTTATAATTTTTTGAATAAAAAATTGGTATATGATAAATTTTGCATTGCATTAGTTTTAACTGTGTTAATTTTTAGAATGTTGTAAATATGAAATTCTTGTAAATTTAATAAATAATGTTTAATATTTTTGTTGTAAATTCTCCAGAACAAAAACAAAAAAAATGTATAATTTTACTTTCATAATATGTTTAGATATTATTATTATAATTCTAATCACTGGTAATGTTTATTGTTTCCAAAAAAAAAAAAAAAAATGTAGTTAAAATAATAGCAATGTCAAGAGAAAAACTAGGCAGGCACAAAGTTTAAAGATTAACAACTTATTTTTGATACTTTTTTTAGTTCAGGGGGTGCAGAATGGTTTTGGCACAGAAAATTGAAACTACAAATCAAGTTTGGATTTTGTTTATATTCACCTTGAGAAAGGCATGGATCTACTTTCCTTGCAATTATGCAAAATAGAATCAAGGGAATTTTTGGTTGACCAAATATAATTTTCGTTGTTCCATAGCGTTCCTCAGCTGCTAAAATTATTGGATGACAGATATTCTTTCTCTACATAAAATGCCCCCCCCCCAAAAGACGTGACACCCATGCTATAACAGCTAACAATATAGCTAATTTAAGCCATGTCAGTGGTGAAATCAACTGTTTTCTATGCAGGAGATGCTTGGTATTCATTGAATAAATAGTTAGTGTTACTGACAGTTGGAATTTATAAAATCTTTCTCTCCAGACAGTTTTTCAGGGAATTCAGATTTTTTTGTAATTATTTTCTCTTCTAGTCCCACGTGCTATCCATTTTTGTTGTTAGAAATGTTTAATTGATGCAATTTCAGTTATTTGGTATTGGTCTAGTCTGAAGGATCGTTTTTAAAATTTAAAGGATTTATTCATTTGAAGCCGTTTTTAATTACTGAACAGTTGCATACATGATAGTTTAGACATTTCTGAACAAATCAAATGCTATGCATGGCATCCATATGGAAGTCGAGACAAGATAAAGATTGAAGTTCTGTATCTTGTTTCCCTCAAAAATTACCTCCCTTGAAATAAGTTGGATAGCAATTTTTTTTTCTCTGCAAATACCTCTTCACTGTTATGGTTGAACCTACTCGGAGCAGTTTTCACTAAATCTGACTATCATCTGAACAAAATGGTATAATTTTTTTTATTATTAATAATTTGAACCATTGTAATTAAATTCAGGATGTTTAACACGTCTTCTAAACAAGTTTTATTAAAAGGATAAACAGTCTGTCTATTGAAGTTATCGTCTTTTCTGAACTGTGAATCACCTTCTGCAGATGCCTATGTCCAAGCTTTCCAATCAGATTAATCATTTCAGTAAAGTAGAGGGGGGGGGGGTCTCTTTTCAAGTTGCTCTGTTTTTGCAAATTGAATCCGATTTTCAAATACAGAAGTAACATGCATCAGTTATTTACAATGATACAATGACGTTTTTAATGTATGATTGCTTTTATTGAATGTAAATAGCACCAAAAATCTCTAGTCTTATTTAGCTGATGGATTCATACAGCATTTTAGTGTTGATAGGGAGGAGCTGTCTAAGTGTGTATATAATATATACTGGTAATTGTTGATATGGTTTATAAATGCTAATATTTTTTTTAATAATGTTGAAATTTGAATCTGTTTTCATTCTCTTTTAAAAGTGTTTCCCTTTCTATCCAAGTTCTTTCATAGTGTCTGTAATCATGTTTGTTTTCAAGACATAGATGTCAAGGAGAGTGCCCCCCCCCCCATTTGAGAAAGTTTCTGCCTTTCTCTTCCTCAGCAGCACATTCACAAGACTTCTAAAATGTAAGATTTGATGTTAATAAATAAAATTAAATCAAGTTTGCCTAATGTCCCATTCACACTCCTTCCCAAGCTTTTGAACAGGAGTAGAGGTTTATCCCTTGTTTCCAATTCCTTTTGAAGTCTTCATTCTCTCACTTCCAGTAGCTCTTGCCTGGGATGAATTGATGATGATGCTGATTAAAAAAAAAAAAATTTCTACAGGAAGAAAATTTAAAAAAAAAAAAAAAAAAAATCTGAATTTTCAGCTATTCTTGGTTACAAATAAATTTTTGTCACAATTTAAATTTGTTTTCAGTCTTTTTATGATAATTAACTTTTTATTTATATACATATATCCCAAGTCAAACTACCCTCTATATAACAGCCTCACCTGTGCAAGCTGTTACTGCTCTTGTCCACCATGACAAAAACTGATCAACTTTAGAAATTTCTAATTTCCAAGAACTTATTGTTTACTTTTCTTCTTTTCCAGCGAAGGAAACTCGAACGTAGCGAACGAAAGAAAAAGATAGGCCATCATTTCTATTCGTATGCAAATGTGAAGAACCGCAGTAACCGTCTACGCAAATGTGACACTTCTGATTGATTAAGGCTGTGATCTCAACCTTTTTTAAACACATGCATCTGTGACCATAATTGTTACCGACTTGTATATTATGACAAATACAGCAGAAAATAAAAATTAAAATATACATATATATTTATTGGGTTTTCTGTATTTATTTAAAAGTTGTGAATGAGAATCGGTATGAGCAAGCAAAACCAACAAAATAATGATTTCAGGAGTCTCTTCCCTACCCTTTTAAGGTATTTACTTAAATTAATAAAAAAATTATAATTGCATTAGTAATAGAAGGCATAGAAAATTGTGTGCAAAAGGCCCAGCATTCTGAATCCATAATTGAAAAATCAGGTTTTGTGTGTGATGAAAACTTTTGCACACAGCAATTTTTTTTGGAGAGGAGGAGAGGGAGAAGAAAAAAAAAAAAAATTAAACCTTTGAATGACAAAGGGGAAATTCCCCAGTAATAAATGTTGAGTCATTTCAGAGTGGTGGGGAGAACTATGTACTTTATGATAATTTGGGGGGGGGGAACACTATGAAAAACTAGATGCATTTTGATAGCCATACACCCTCCAAGTTGTTATATATATATATATATATATATATATATATAGCAACATTAATAGATTGCTTAGAAAGTTAAACTCACAAGCCATGAATAAGCAGTTCAGTAAATTTTTTTTTTTTTTTACTAAATATCTTTCTCATTTACAACTGATATATCAAATAAGATTAATTTTGGCTTTGTGCCTCATAAAATTAAAACATTACCTACTATCTGCAAAATTATATATATATAAACAAAATAGGCCTGATGTTTTAAAGAAAAACTTTAAAAAGTAAATTTCAGTGTGTGTGTATATATATATATAAATAAAACAATCTGATCATATATAAATAAAAATAACTTTTAAAGTGAATGAATTCAAGATGAACAAAATCAAACTGGAGTAAACCTGTTGATTGCATCAAAATGTACAACACCACATTTTTTTTCCTAAATAGGACATTTTCAAACTGCACTCTCCCAACAGAAACAAGAAAACATTTAACAGAAAGAGAGTGGTAACCAGCAACTTAATTGTGATATTTTTTTCCTGTACAAACAAGACAATACCGAATGTTTCAATTTTCTTATTTAGAAGAAACAATTTAATATAAATGAAATGGCCAATTAAATAAAGCAATAAACAAGTGTGGGTGAAAAAAAAAAAAAAAAAAAAAAAAAAAAAAACACCAATAACTAACTTGGACTTGAGCTGATTTTTTTAATAAAAACCCTGCATGTAAATAGAAGGAAAAGAATGAATGGAAATAAATTTAAAAAATGCATATGTTAATTAAATATATACTCATTAGTATAGTACATTTGTACATGTGTCTGTGTGTATGTCAATGCAGGCATATATATATATATATATATATATATATATATATATATATATATATATGTGTGTGTACATACACACAGGATTATTATAGTCCTTGAGTAGTTTTCAATTTTTCATTACTTCAGTTCTATAGATGATAAAATCTAATTTTAGCTTTTGTTAAAAATCCAACTGCAAATTATTCAGAATTGCATCTTTATTTTTTTTTTTTTTTTTTTTTTTTACTAATTTTCACCTAATACAAGGCTCAAGAACCACTCAAGGCAGAGGGTCAGTGAATGAAGTATTAGATATGGGATGTGAGAGTAGGAAGTGAATGTTATGAGGATATAGAAGATAGGTAATGATTGACCCTTGACTTGAAGAGGTTAAGATTGTAGCATTCAGAGAAGCATTCACGGTAATCTATTCCACTAAGCATCAATTCTTGGGAGGGAGGGGGATGGAGCTGTCTGAAGGGAACTTTCTCCTTACAATTGGAATATGGAGGAAATGAAGGTGATTCAACTCCGTGGAAGTGGCATGGCAACTCTTACCTGTCTGTGAAGTTCTGAACTGATGAAACCAAGAGCTTGTCCGAATATTTGCCATGAAAGTAACAATAGAGCAGCAATAAGATTGTAATGCTCCATCTATGGGGAAAGAGGGTGTAGGGGCAGAAAATGAATCAATCTGCATGGCTGCGTAAATGACTCTATGAAAGTTGGAAAGTGAGGATTGGGCAGCTCCACCCCAAATATGACTGCCATACTCCATTTCTGGTCTAATCTCTTGTAAGGTACTGTAGGACAGTACAATGAGCCAATCTCCAACCCACCACCCACCACTTTAGTAATGGATCATATATGTCTTCCACTTGAGGTCTGGAGTGAACTTTGATACATAATGACATATTTGAAGATTAACAATCTTGAGAATGAATCATAAAAAAATAAAATAAAAAGTTAAAAATTCTTTAACTTTTCATTTTTTTTTTTTTCTTTTTACAGATTGGTTTTGTCACATACAAAACTGAAGTTATGAAAAATTCCAAACTGTACAATGACTTTTATATATAAAATACAAGCACGTACATAAACATGTTAGTTATTTTGTATACAAGCCAGCTTAAAAATTAAGGAAAATGTGAAAAAAAAAAATTTAAAATTAAGAAAGGCACAATTTAATATCCATTTCAAAATTTAAAAAAAAAAAAAAAAAAAAAAATTTAGAAGGGAACAAAATATCCCATTATATCTTTTATCTTAACCATACATACTAATTTTGATGTCTGTAAATAAATGTTGGGGGGAGGGGAGCAGTGAATATCTTCTGGTGAAGGGGAAAGGTCAGGTGAAGTGAAGGAGACATGGTTGTGGTAATTGTCCAGTTTTCAAGCAGACACACTGGTCACTTTGCTCAAGGTGTTAGCGTACTGAAACTGATCAGTACTCTCACTAATGTCCAGAGCAACTATACAGCTTTCTCGTACGATCCGCTCCTTGTCTGTCAAATATTTAGCCAGAAAATCATTACACTCAGCAGTCCCCATTGCTCCTAGGGCTTCGGCACACTCGTGCCGAACCATGGGATCTTCATCTTCATTCTCAACTGTGGCCATCAGCTCTTTAGCAACAATAGGATTTTGGAGTTGGCCAAGGACATAAGCAATTTCATGGCGAAAGAGTGCACTTGAGGATTTAAAACCTTGAGGGGGAAAAAAAAAAGACAAGAATATTATTAGAAGTCATTTTACATAGATTTTTTTTTTTTTTTTATTGATTTCACCTCAAAAAAGGCAGTAAAGCCATTAAAACACAAGGGATTAGTGGGTGTGAAAGAATTAGAAAACAAACATTATTAAGGAGCAAGAACAAAATAAGTGTGATGAAGATAATGAATTTTTTATTTTTTATTCATTTTGCCTCAAGTCACTAGAATGCAAGAGGTTATAGTTTTAAAGAATATGAGAAAAACTATTATTAAGGAGAGAGGACAATAAGAGAACAAGAATTCAGAGGATGATTGATCTTCAAAACTATAAATACAAAGTTGACTCAGAAGAGAGTCACACAAGCGTAAAGTGCAATAGTAGAAGAAACTGTTAGCATAGAACTTATTGTTACATATAGACATTCTAACTGTAAAATAATGAGACCTTGCCAATCATCCCATACTACTCCTTCATGTGCTTCCATCTTTCCTTTATCACTCCCTCTCTTCCCAGGACTACAGTATATTAAACATAATTGCCGACAGTATAGAAAAGGCACTTTTCCTCCACCCATTCACAAACATCTTTGTCTTTGGTGACTTTAATGCTCACCACAACACATGGCTTAAACATTCTAAAAGGTACTGATGTTGCCGATGTTCAGACATTAAATTTTTTCTATTGCCCAATCCCTTACTCAAATCGTGAACTTCCACACTCATTTCCTTAGTAAAACTGAGCAATATGCTTCTTGATGATTTATTTCTTACCTCTTTTCCTCACTCTTGCTGAACTTCACAACACACTGCCCTCTTGGTAATTCTAACTACTCTGTGGTAGTGATTGATTTCAATACTTTATTAAACAGGAACCCACTATCCAAAAGACCTCTTTCTGTTATTAGCATGCTCATTGGGACGCACTCTATGATTTTCTCAGTGACGCCCATTGAACTGACATCTTTAAACTTCCAAATGAAAATTGCACCACTGAGGTTTCTTCTTGGGTCAAAGCCAGCATGAACACTTTCATCCCTACTTGAAAATACCAGGTGAAACCTCAATTGTCTCCATGTTTCACACCACCATGCTCGGCCACTTTAGCACAATGGAGTTACTATTTTCAGTTCTACCAGTGTGATGGCTTTTGTCACAACAGACACCTATTCACTGCTGCTTGCAATAAATGTAAGCGAGCCCTCGAAGGAGCAAAGTCCATTTGCTGAGATAATGAGGCACTGCATAGCCTCTAACAACTTGGCTCACACAATTACTAGCAGCTCTGTAATAGGATATTAAATCGATATGAGGTGTTATCATCCTCTGCTGATAAAGCTGAATGCTTTGCCCATAAATTCTCCTTAAACTCTACTCTTGACTCATGTGGAATATCCCTGCCTAACTTCCCTCCTAGAAATGAGTCTCTGTCGAGCGATATAAATATAACCTCTTCCATGTTTTCTGCTATCATCTCTCACCTAGATCCCCATGTGCATCTGATGGTATCCCTGTAATAGTCATTAAGAAGTGAGCTCCCAAATTGTCTCTTGCAATTTCTCTAATCTGTATAATAAATGCCTTGCTGCCATCTGCTTTCCTGCCTGCTGGAAGTAATCATTTGTTCCAGTTTTTAAGAACTCTGGTGAGCCATCCGACCCTTTCAACTAGTCCATTAGCCTTCTACCTATTTTTGGCAAACTCTTAGAGGCCCTAATCAATGCTGAATTGGTTCATCATTACTCATCACAGAGACTTTTCTCAGAAAAGCAATATTGCTTTCATTTCTCCAGGTTAACTGCTGATGTACTGACAATATTTGTGAAAAGTGTTTATCATGCTCTAGATAAAAATGGTGAAGCCCAAGCTGTTGCATTGGACATCTCGAAAGCCTTTGACAGGGTCTAGCATTCAGGTCTTCTCCACAAGCTAAAAAGTTACGATGTCACTGAACACTTTTTTGAACTGATCCAGTCTTTCCTTTCAAATCACAAAATGAGAGATATCCGGAACAGCTACTCATCTAGATCCTTTTGTACTTCTCTCCAGAATCTATCTTACATATCTATAAATCTACCATTAGTCCATGCTTAGGATATTGCTGTCATATATAGTCCGGTGCCCCTTCTATTTATCTTGAGCTCCTAAATAAGATCCAAAGAAGAATCTGCAATATTATTAGTTCTGATCTGATGGCTCAGATCCAGTCACTTTCCCACCACAGTAAGATTGCTTCTCTATCTTTTCTATAAATACTTTCATGGTAATTGTTCAAATAAGCTCTTTGCTATGGTACCTAGAGTTTTTAAATTCAAGTGTAGCACTAGACTGGCGCCTAGATCTCATCCATTTAAAGTTGAGCTGGCTAGATGTAGTTGTAAATTCTATGCTAACAGTTTCTTCTCTTACACTTCTCACTTGTGGAACTCTCTTCCAGCTCCATGCTTTCCAGCCAACTTTAATCTGCAAAAATTTAAATGCAATGTCAAGTGCTATCTACTGTCCACCTGATTATTCTCTTCTCTTTCTGCTCATTATTAATGTTTCTGTTCCTAATTCTTGTACACCCTGTAACCTCTTGTGTTTTACTGGCATTACTGTCTTGCTTGTGGGGATTCTAATTAAAAAAATAAATTATAGAAAAGGCACAGAGAAGCTACATGATGGCAGTGGGAAAGGTACTAAAACCAAGGTGCCAGGTCAGGACCAATAACATTGCAGATTTTTCCTTGGATTTTATCAAGAATCTCTAAATGTATAGCTGGAGCACCAGACCAGATGTAGTAGTAATATTCAAAGCAAGGACAAATGGTAGATTGGATTGCATTTAAATTTTTGAAGATCAATGTTGGCTACTGTCAACAAGTCTATCATGAGGAGAAAAGCATTCATTTTACTACAAATATTTTTCAACAATCCTTGTCAAGGCACTTAATTCAGTGAATCTTAACTACTTACATTATACAGTGAAAACTTCAGATCAAAATTCATCTAGTAACAATTAAGTTGTGAACTTACTGATGCACTTTCATATGTTTAAAAAGAAAAAAAATGTTTAAAATTTGCTAGACTGGGAGGAAAAGAGAACTCAATGTTGGGGATAGAGCATTTGGAGACATAAGGTGTGTGAACATAGAAATCCTTATTGCATTTTGACTGGTCTGAAGTTCACTTAAGGCATGAAACTGGCAGTCCTCATTCAGTCCAGATTTTTGTGTCCACATTGTTATATAAGGTAAGTGAACATAGAATTGGCTGTGTTAGGGGTAGTTTCACTCAGCAATGCAAGCTGTTGCAAAATCAAAATATTAACCTAAAAACTAGGAACATGTTCTTAAACAGCCTTGTTAAATAGAGGCTTTCATATGGATACCATGCATGGTGCCAAGCTCATTCAAAAATATCTAAATTGCAGCCTATTTACAACTGCTTTCTCATTGACGATTAAAAATGGCGTTGAGTGAATGAAGCATGAATGTCTCTATGAGGATCATTATTCTTTGAAATGTGTAAACTGGCATTAGAGTCACAGAGAATTGTACCAAATAACAGAAATTACATCACTTGGGGACTTTCAACAGCAGTGACAGCTAAAATGGATAGCACATATAACTCAAAGAAAGAATAATGACATAAGATGCTGACATTCCACACGACTTCAAACAAAAGGCAAGGAAGGAAACTCCCATAAATAATACTAGAAAGAGCAATAACAGTGGACTTGAGAAACCTATTTTTTTTTAAAAACTGTTTTAAGAGAAACATTTTAGAAATTTCAACCAACAGCTACACTGAATGTTTCCTTATAAGGAGAAGGGTAATATTACCATCTATGTATAACAAACAGGGGAATTGCAGAGTGGAAAATACATTGGGCTGTCCAGAAAGTTTGTGCTGATATTTAAGGTGTATGGAGGGAGGGAGAGCAAGAGAGCGCTAGCATAAGAATCTGTCTTGCAAGTTCAGACTTTGCTGACCTTCTCTGGCAGACATTATAGAAAGCCATGCCTCTCCCATACATGTCTCAAAAACAAATTTTGTTCATGAATATATAATAAAAATCCAGATATAACTAAAAATACAGCTGCAACTAGACAATATGAATAAAGGGAAAAGGAAAAATTTTCATCCTCTGAAGAACTTTATCAAGGCAAATCTAAAGATTTTATTTACAGTGTTATCTTCACAAATGTACTTATTTGTATCTGAATTTATAAACACACAATATGTATATATATGAAGGAAAAGTCGAAAATTATCTGCACTCATGTCTAAAGAAATGCTATGGTGAAAATGTGGATATTTTTTGTTTTACTTACCATTGTGTGTGTGTGTGTATATATATATATATATATATATATATATATATATAAAACGAGGTGTATTAACAAGGAAAGAGATTATGTAAAATAATAAATATTTCTTTAGTAAAAGAAATTCTGTGTTTTTTTTCTTTTTGTACATCTATATTCACCATTGAAGTGCAATGACAAGGATGGAGATCATGTGGAAATATTTATGTTCCACAAAATAGATGCCTTTTTGTCATCATTAGGTTGGGGACTTCTTCATGTCCCTACATATGCAAAAGTATTTTTCACAACAAAAAGTAGCAGCTAAAACTTAATTCTTCATTATTATTATTATTTTTTTCAATCAAATTTTCTTTACCTTTTGCCAGAATACGGCAGGCTTTATCTGTTTGCATATTTCTCAAAGAGAACATAGCCCTGTATCGGTTGTACATTGGCAGATTTTCATCCAATAACATCTTTTCCAATTTTCCGAGGTCCTGGCATTCAGAAGGGGGAGCTGGATCAATTGAATTATAAGGATTCTTGGACAAATTCTTCTTGTGCCGATCAGACCCATGCAGCCACTTGATCCGTTGTATGGCCAGTTGACATGTATCAGCAAGCTTAATTAGAAAGAAAAAAATATATAAATATATAACTAAAAGAGAAAATTAGTTTTACAAAATTATATTTTTACAGCCTCCTTATCACAGATTTGTTGTTGTTACCCTTCTTCGACTCATAAAAATGACTTCAAAAATTCTGTAAAATACAAAGACTACTGCTTACATGGCAATATCTCAGTCCTAGTTATACTAAGTCTGTATAGAAAGTCTCCTGCCATTAAAAAAAAAGAGAGAGAGAAAAAAAAAAAAAAAAAAAAAAAATAGAAGACCTACCTAGGCTAATGGTACCATAGTCCTCTTCAAAGCCTCACACATTTATCTCCATATTTAATCCTTTCCTAGACTATGCTTTGGATATGTATAAGGACAAGTATAAAAGAAGTAGGCCAAGAAAATCCCATACCACAACCTAAATGAATCTCTTAATAGAAAGCCACTCTTATTTTCACTCTAGTGGTCAGTGTATCATATCGTCAATAGCAATTTTACATTTGGTAAAAACCAGGTTACAGAGACATTTGCAGACTGGGGATATGACTGAACAATTTAATGTAGTTTCACAAAAAAAAAAAAAAAGACTCATGAACAATCTACCTGCTCAGTGTATATGAATGCAACTGCCGCACAGTATACAAGCTCACTCAATGGACTCTCATGACTAACCAGATAACACCACAAGAGAGTATCTGTTCATAAATGCATATTAAAATCAGCCATAATTGCCAAGTTACATCAAATCCATGCAACTGGTTCATGAGATATTCAAATTAGCTAGATATGTTTGTGGCTAGACCTTCTGCATTACACAAATCACATTAATAATCACAAGACATTAGAAAATCCCACACAGGTAGGATTCAGTCAGATTTAATACTATTTCTGAAGAGGTGCATGTGTGGACACTGAGGTCAGCACCAAGCAACAAATGTTTTATGCTACCAGAACCTTGCCACCAATAACACATCGTTGACCAGCATATATAAACAGTCAAGCCACAACACACATGGCCTGAAGATTGCGTTAAAGTATGAAATTGACTGTTGCTGCTCAGTGTTGACTTCAGTTTGCACTTTTATATTTTTATGCCTCCATACACTGTCTCTGAGATTGAGCACTTTTACCCAGCAGGCCTTAAAACTTTATATGATATATATGCACACACTTGTTCACCCAATACAAGGCTCAAGAGCCACTCAAAGTAGATGGTTACTGAATGAGGTTGTTGTAAGAGGAGGAAGTAAGAAGTACATAATATAAAAATATGGAGTACCGATAATATTTGACCCTTGACTTGAAGAGAGTAAGATTTAAGTGATTGGTAAAAGCATCTTTTCAGAAGCCTGTTCTATAAGTAACAGTTCTGGGAAGAAGCTGCTTGAGTGAAACTTCCTCCTTACCAATGGAATACAATGGGAATAAGGATGAGTCAATCTTGTATATGTAGCATGGCACATCCTAGCTGTGAAGGTCTGGAATGGTCAAACTAAGGAATGCAGCTTGTGTGAACATCTGCCATGAAAATAGGGATAGATTACCAAGAGGCTAGCAATATTTTGTTTGTAGGGAAAAGAGTTGTCAGGCAAAAAATAATTATCATCCATATAAATGCTTAATTTCATGACTAGAGAAAAAACATAAATGTGAATAACCACAAGTATCTGATCCAGAAAAATAATTAATTGCCCAAGAGAGACAAACTAAATGAGTTTTTTATTGCTTTTTGTCTTGAGACTATCAATATTCTATTTGATATTTGAAGCTGCACATGTTTCTGAAATAGAAAACATTGTGTGTGTGTGTGTGTGTGTGGGTCACCTGAAGATCACAAAGAGTTGTGTCTCACCGAGGGTTGATACTGTCTGGATAGCTTAGGCAAGGGGTCTTGATGTTAATTTCGGTGAAAATGTTGGAACAAGATTTTATCTAACATGTATGTAATAAATAAGGTTGCATCTAAGTAGGGTAGGCTTCAAAAATTATCAAAAGAGAGAGATGTCATTTATTACACATCATTTATGTAACAACTACGGTAAAAGACACCCAACATTGCCACATCTGCACAAAACAATGTAAGACCCCAGCAGAATTTAAAAGTCACATATACACTGCTAATATTTAAGAAGTTAAATAATAGCAATGCTCAAAATCAAATCACAGCCATGATATTTTGTGTAATCAGATACATATGTTCTTTTTTTTCTCATTTATTTTAATTCTATTCTTCAATTTTAACAAATTAGTCAATAATAAAACAAAGTTTTATAAAATAAAGTTGTAGAAGAATACAGCTATAAAAGAACCATAAAACATTACAGTAAAAATATTTTGTGCATTAATTCAAATAACACTGGTTAAAATGAACTAATTTATCTGACCATTCAATAGTGTGTGTGTGTGTGTGTGAGATGTTTTTTTTTACCTGGAAACATGCATAATTTTTAAATACTGCATCTCTTCAGAATGTAGGCAATCATGACTTGATAGATTTGTTTTCATTATTATCTATGAATTGCCACGACTTTTCTTGGGAAAGACAAGGGAGCCATTTCTTGTTACTTTCTCCACAGTTTGAAATTCAGTTTTCTTTCTCTTAGACTAGTTGCAACCTAAGGTAAGAAGAGAGCCCAGTCAGCCCTGCTACTTAAACTATAGTGGGAAAGGTGGATTTATGCCTTTCCCAAGAGTATAAGTGTGAAAGGGAATTTGAACTCAGCTCACCAATTCCCATTTCTGCATCAATCATGTCACGCTACCTGCACATTTAGACACACAAACACACACAAGTTTTATATATAAAGTGAAAAGATTTCCTGGTATAATAAAACAGTATTTCTTTATTTTCAACATTCCCAGAGCTATTCACCTTTCTGAGCAAAGAACTGTTGTTTTCAGGGAACGGAATTTTTTTTTTTTTTTTTTTTGCATTAATTCTGTGAGGACTGATACACAACAATCCAAAAGTGAGGAATATGGAAGTTGAATGAAAACTTCCCAGCCAAACTAGAACAATTTAAGAAAAAAAATAAAAAGTCTACCTGTTCACCAAAGAAATATTAGTCTCGCTTTCTTCTGATGGATTATTACACCCCTTTCACTTAACTGCTCACTTTAGTTGGTCTAATTTGGACCAATACTTATTTGAGTCAATTGTTTAGTTTTTACCTTTAAGAAGAAGAAAAAAAAAGCATAAGCTAAAATTGTTGCTTTCTTCCATGTTAGAATCAATAATAATAATAAAAAAAATAAATAAAAAAAACTCGTTGATCTGACAGCTGTCACAATACAATAAAAGATTTGTTTGGGCTAAGTTCGCATTAAAAGTATTGAATTTTAACAACCACCACAGAACAAACCTTTTGGCCAACTCAATAAATATCTGACTCCCCATTTACTATTTTTCTTGATAAATACCAACTGAAAAATATCAGTATTTATGTAATACAGTGTGACTGATAAATGAAAAAAAAGGATAAGTTGGAATATGAGCTTGGAACAGAACAAAAAAGGGTTAAGTTAAAATATAACTTGGAAGGGATTAAAGAATGGAATGATAGATAAACCAAGAGAAGAAGCAAAATTGCTTTTATTTTTGAAAGATGGGCTGACAATTGATGGCACAGCCTTAAAATGGAAGTTATGAAAACATCTACGGACCAGCCAGAGAAGAATTTCGATTGAGGAGATAAAATTTGGTAATTTTAAAGTGAAGGCAAATGTAGAAAAACTGATTGATGATTGCTGTTAAAAATCAGAAGACTGTACAAACAATCCCAGAGAAAGTATTTTATATGTCAACTAAGAGAAATTAAAATATGAGGATTACGGTAAAAGAGAAGCAGATGGTTAATTTCTGATTATAAAGACCAACACCCCAAATGGGAAAAAAATGTGCTGACAACAATAAAAGTAATAAATACAATTAATGACCAAAAGATAAATTCAACCCATTTGCCCACAGAATTTAAAAATCAAATTTGTCAAAATGACAACCAAGGGGAGAGACTTCGATGAAATACCAAGAGAGACAGAGAGATTGGCAGGTAATGGGATGAGGCACAAATAAGAGAAAGGAGTTATTGGGGCATGTCAGTACCTACAACCACTGCTCATGGAAAAGGGTCTCCCAAATTTGGAAGAATAATTAATTTTCCAAAATCAGACAAAGAACTCCACCACCACCACCACCACCAATGCTGGCCTTGAGTAAAAGTCAATACAAGCAGAAGACTGAAGTGACCAGCGACAGTTGGAGAAACAAAGGACAGAAGATGACCATGCTGTTGAAGTCCATGTGACTTGCTGCCAAAGAGAACTCTCAACTTAAGCCTTATTCCAGACTTAGCTAAAATGAACAAAATGTCATGATAGAATTCAAAGTGGGAAAAGGTAATATCTCTGTACAAAGAACAATATAAACCACATAGAAAACTGATCCAAAGAATTTCCTATCTACTTTTATTTCCAAGTTAACTCAATTACTTTTCTTTTACAAACTACACGAAAAAAAAAATGACTGGTTTTGTTTGATTTTTTACTTAAAGTCTAGAGCATAAAAGGAGTTTTATTTCTTTCTAAATATTTCCCACATTTAAACTTTCTCCAAATCTGATATCAACAAATCTTTAAAGAAAATAAAACTTTACCATGCTAATTTCTTTCCAGAATTGTTTCCTCTACCATTGCATTTTTTTTTTTGAGTGTGCAAAAACATCTACAGTTTTAGAATTGTTATAACTTTGTGTGTATAGATTTTATTTGGTGCAGTGAGAGGGCACGACCTCGGGCAGCTGTTCCCCAAGGCTGGGCATCCCTCAGTATAATTTTTCCTCAGTTGTGATTGCCCTTTGACGGTGTCACCCCTGAGCACACTCTGCTCAGAGACGCAACTGCAAGATGATAAACGTGTTACAAATTACTTTAGAATAATTTACACATTGTATTTACCGTCTCCCCACTAAAACGAGATGCAACCCGAGTGTATACACAGGGTCAAATTA